ATCCCATCCCATCCCATCCCATCCCATCCCATCCCATCCCATCCCATCCCATCCCATCCCATCCCATCCCATCCCATCCCATCCCATCCCATCCCATCCCATCCCATATCCCATCCCATCCCATCCCATCCCATCCCATCCCATCCCATCCCATCCCATCCCATCCCATCCCATCCCATCCCATCCCATCCCATCCCATCCCATCCCATCCCATCCCATCCCATCCCATCCCATCCCATCCCATCCCATCTCATCCTATCCCATCTCATCCTATCCCATCCCATCCCATTCCATCCCATCCCATCCCATATCCCATCCCATATCCCATCCCATCCCATCCCATCCCATCCCATCCCATCCCATCCCATATCCCATCCCATCCCATCCCATCCCATCCCATCCCATCCCATCCCATCCCATCCCGTCCCATCCCATCCCATCCCATCCCATCCCATCCCATATCCCATCCCATATCCCATCCCATCCCATCCCATCCCATCCCATCCCATCCCATCCCATCCCATCCCATCCCATCCCATCCCATCCCATCCCATCCCATCCCATAATCCATATCCCATCTCATCCTATCCCATCTCATCCTATCCCATCCCATCCCATTCCATCCCATCCCATCCCATATCCCATCCCATATCCCATCCCATCCCATCCCATCCCATCCCATCCCATCCCATCCCATCCCATCCCATATCCCATCCCATCCCATCCCATCCCATCCCATCCCATCCCATCCCATCCCATCCCATATCCCATCCCATCCCATCCCATCCCATCCCATCCCGTCCCATCCCATCCCATCCCATCCCATCCCATCCCATCCCATCCCATCCCATCCCATCCCATCCCATCCCATCCCATCCCATCCCATCCCATCCCATCCCATCCCATCCCATCCCATCCCATCTCATCCTATCCCATCTCATCCTATCCCATCCCATCCCATTCCATCCCATCCCATCCCATATCCCATCCCATATCCCATCCCATCCCATCCCATCCCATCCCATCCCATCCCATCCCATCCCATATCCCATCCCATCCCATCCCATCCCATCCCATCCCATCCCATCCCGTCCCATCCCATCCCATCCCATCCCATCCCATATCCCATCCCATATCCCATCCCATCCCATCCCATCCCATCCCATCCCATCCCATCCCATCCCATCCCATCCCATCCCATCCCATCCCATCCCATCCCGTCCCGTCCCATCCCGTCCCGTCCCGTCCCGTCCCATCCCATCCCATCCCATCCCATCCCATCCCATCCCATCCCATCCCATCCCATCCCATCCCATCCCATCCCATCCCATCCCATCCCATCCCATCCCATCCCATCCCATAATCCATATCCCATATCATCCTATCCCATCTCATCCTATCCCATCCCATCCCATTCCATCCCATCCCATCCCATATCCCATCCCATATCCCATCCCATCCCATCCCATCCCATCCCATCCCATATCCCATCCATCCCATCCATCCCATCCCATCCCATCCCATCCCATCCCATCCCATCCCATCCCATCCCATCCCATCCCATCCCATCCCATCCCATCTCATCCTATCCCATCTCATCCTATCCCATCCCATCCCATTCCATCCCATCCCATCCCATATCCCATCCCATATCCCATCCCATCCCATCCCATCCCATCCCATCCCATCCCATCCCATATCCCATCCCATCCCATCCCATCCCATCCCATCCCGTCCCATCCCATCCCATCCCATCCCATCCCATATCCCATCCCATATCCCATCCCATCCCATCCCATCCCATCCCATCCCATCCCATCCCGTCCCATCCCATCCCATCCCGTCCCATCCCATCCCATCCCATCCCATCCCATCCCGTCCCATCCCATCCCATCCCGTCCCATCCCATCCCATCCCATCCCATCCCATCCCATCCCATCCCGTCCCATCCCATCCCATCCCGTCCCATCCCATCCCATCCCATCCCATCCCATCCCATCCCATCCCATCCCATCCCATCCCATCCCATCCCATCCCATCCCATCCCATCCCATCCCATCCCATCCCATCCCATCCCATAATCCATATCCCATATCATCCTATCCCATCTCATCCTATCCCATCCCATCCCATTCCATCCCATCCCATCCCATATCCCATCCCATATCCTATCCCATCCCATCCCATCCCATCCCATCCCATCCCATCCCATCCCATCCCATATCCCATCCCATCCCATCCCATCCCATCCCATCCCATCCCATCCCATCCCATCCCATCCCATCCCATCCCATCCCATCCCATCCCATCCCATCCCATCCCATCCCATCTCATCCTATCCCATCTCATCCTATCCCATCCCATCCCATTCCATCCCATCCCATCCCATATCCCATCCCATATCCATCCCATCCCATCCCATCCCATCCCATCCCATCCATCCCATATCCCATCCCATCCCATCCCATCCCATCCCATCCCATCCCATCCCGTCCCATCCCATCCCATCCCATCCCATCCCATATCCCATCCCATATCCCATCCCATCCCATCCCATCCCATCCCATCCCATCCCATCCCATCCCATCCCATCCCATCCCATCCCATCCCATCCCATCCCATCCCATCCCATCCCATCCCATCCCATCCCATCCCATCCCATCCCATAATCCATATCCCATCTCATCCTATCCCATCTCATCCTTTCCCATCCCATCCCATTCCATCCCATCCCATCCCATATCCCATCCCATATCCCATCCCATCCCATCCCATCCCATCCCATCCCATCCCATCCCATCCCATCCCATCCCATATCCCATCCCATCCCATCCCATCCCATCCCATCCCATCCCATCCCATCCCATCCCATCCCATCCCATCCCATCCCATCCCATCCCATCCCATCCCATCCCATATCCCATCCATCCCATCCCATCCCATCCCATCCCATCCCATCCCATCCCATCCCATCCCATCCCATCCCATCCCATCCCATCCCATCCCATCCCATCCATCCCATCCCATCCCATCCCATCCCATCCCATCCCATCCCATCCCATCCCATCCCATCCCATCCCATATCCCATCCCATATCCCATCCCATCCCATCCCATCCCATCCCATCCCATCCCATCCCATCCCATCCCATCCCATATCCCATCCCATCCCATCCCATCCCATCCCATCCCATCCCATCCCATCCCATCCCATCCCATCCCATCCCATATCCCATCCCATCCCATCCCATCCCATCCCATCCCGTCCCGTCCCATCCCATCCCATCCCATCCCATCCCATCCCATCCCATCCCATCCCATCCCATCCCATCCCATCCCATCCCATCCCATCCCATCCCATCCCATCCCATCCCATCCCATAATCCATATCCCATCTCATCCTATCCCATCTCATCCTATCCCATCCCATCCCATTCCATCCCATCCCATCCCATATCCCATCCCATATCCCATCCCATCCCATCCCATCCCATCCCATCCCATCCCATCCCATCCCATCCCATATCCCATCCCATCCCATCCCATCCCATCCCATCCCGTCCCATCCCATCCCATCCCATCCCATCCCATCCCATCCCATCCCATCCCATCTCATCCTATCCCATCTCATCCTATCCCATCCCATCCCATTCCATCCCATCCCATCCCATATCCCATCCCATATCCCATCCCATCCCATCCCATCCCATCCCATCCCATCCCATCCCATCCCATATCCCATCCCATCCCATCCCATCCCATCCCGTCCCATCCCATCCCATCCCATCCCATCCCATCCCATCCCATCCCATCCCATCCCATCCCATCCCATCCCATCCCATCCCATCCCATCCCATCCCATCCCATCCCATCCCATCCCATCCCATCCCATCCCATTCCATCCCATCCCATTCCATCCCATTCCATCCCATCCCATCCCATCCCATCCCATCCCATCCCATCCCCTTCCCATCCTCCCTTGCCGTTCCCCATTGTGCCATCCTCTCTTCTAACTTGAACTCTTACCTTCTCTCTGTTCCCCGCCTACTGATGGTTCCTCTCCTCCCTCCTTCACCTCGGTAACCCCTGTGTGCATTCCCATCCCATCATGGCATCCCAGGGGAGCGAGTGGACGAGGTGTGTCAGCTGAGGACACCACACCATGGCAACGCAGCGCACTTGGATGGCCTAAACCGGCTGGAGCTGGACGCTCCAAGTCCCCACTCTCCTCGGTAACCCCTGTGTGCATTCCCGTCCCATCATGGCATCCCAGGGGAGCGAGTGGACGAGGTGTGTCAGCTGAGGACACACCACACCATGGCAACGCAGCGCACTTGGATGGCCTACTCCGGCTGGAGCTGGACGCTCCAAGTCCCCACTCTCCTCGGTAACCCCTGTGTGCATTCCCGTCCCATCATGGCATCCCAGGGGAGCGAGTGGACGAGGTGTGTCAGCTCAGGACCCACCACACCATGGCAACACAGCGCACCTGGATGGCCTACTCCGGCTGGACGCTGCAAGTCTCCCTCCGCCACTCGCACCTCCCCTCCACCTCCTCGCTCCCCTCCTCCGCCTCCCTCTCCGCCTCCGCCTCCTCCTCGTCTTCGTCCTCCTCAGCTGCCAGTGCGCCGGCCTTCCCTGGCCTGCGATTCCATGTGGCTAAGGTTCCAGGCCCGCCGGTACGTGCGTGCTTGTGACCAGCTTTGCTAAAACGTTCTCCTGCCCGATACCTCCCGCTGCTCCTGCCCACTACATCCCTCTCCTGTCCACTACATCCCTCTCCTGCCCACTACATCCCTCTCCTGCCCACTACATCCCTCTCCTGCCCACTACATCCCTCTCCTGCCCACTACATCCCTCTCCTGCCCACTACATCCCTCTCCTGCCCACTACCGCCCTCCACTCATCTCTCATCATATTCTCTTCTACTCTAAACAATCTCTCAATATTCCTCCCCACTCATCGTGCCCTCAACACCCCCACCCACATGACCACCCCCAGATGGCTCTCGCTCCCGGTCGTCGACTCGCATACTCGCGCCCTCTCTCCACCTTTTCTCCCCCCATCTCCTCCTCCTCCTCCTCTTCCTCCGCACTCCTCCGCTCGTCCAGCACAGCCGGTGCAGCAGCGGCGCATGGGGGCAGGGGGGAGAGAGGCGGAGCGGGTGCGGGGGGCGTGGGAGGCGCAGGGGGCGAGGGGGAGGGGGAGGACAGGGAGGGGGAGGGGGCGGGGTATGTGACGGTGGTGCGGTATCCAGAGGACTGCCCGGGGGGAGTGGCCACTGCACTCTTCAACTGGCGCACAGGGGGAATTGAGGTGCGTGGGGGAGGGGGGGGAAGGGGTCAGTAGTAGGTGGTGGTGTCTGTGTTGTGCGTGGTTGTGCGTGTGCACGTGTGCGTGCATGTGGGCATGTGTGTGAGAGCCTCGCCCTCCTTACCACCTGATGGTAATCAAGCCAGTCCCTCCAGCCACCCTCCCCTTGGTCCCTCTCTTTGCCTCTGCATCTCACACTCTATGTAGTAACATCCGAATTGACTACATCACCCTATCAAGCTATCTCAGATTCTCCTGTTTACAATCAGTCAGTGTTCAGTCGATTCTCCTCATTGCCCCATTCTCTGCTCCCACCTCCCACCGCTCTCTCCCCCTACCCCACCATCCATACCCCCCTCTCCCTGCAGGTGCAACCGCACGAGCGGCTGGATGTGGTGGCGCTGATGGCGGTGGCAGTGGCACAGTCATGGCACGACCTGCACCTCGCTGCCACCACGGCCGGCACTGCCAGCGCTGCCAGTGCGGCCAAGAAGAAGAGCCCTGGCAGCACGTCGGCTAAGCCCGCCCCTGTTAAGATCATTCCGTCGAAGCTGCCGCGCCGTGCTGCCTCTGTGGGCAAGGATGACCGATGGGGTACGTGTGGGAGGATGGTGATGGTGCTTTTGGAGAGGGAATGCGCATGATTAGTGTGCGTGGGTGTGGGTGTGGGTGATTGTGGGTGAATGGTGTGTGTGTGTGTGCGTGTGTACGTGCGTGGTTGCACTGTTATTCAAAGTTCAGTCCACCCACCTCCTCACGCACTCCCTTCCAAATCCAATCCCAGGATCGGTGGTCGTTGATCCGTCACCCCCAGAAGCCATGTCACCCGACCCGCCTCTCCACGATTGGTTCATGTCACGCATGCTGATGTGGCACGACTCACCGCTCTATAACACGACTGATGTAGGTGGTTCCTGCGCAGCTCTCCTTGGTGGCAGTGCATGCGGAGCAGGATGATGTGATGTGAGCGTTTGAGCATTGAACACTGCCCATCAAGTGTACAAGAATGTGCGCCTTGTAGTTTATGAAAGTAAGTACTACCGGTATGTAGTAGTACGTAGTACCCAGTAGGTAGTTCAGATCGTACCAGGCAGCTGCTGCTAAGTTGATTGGACCTGCAAAAGTAGGGTGTCTGCCTGCCTGCGAGTAACATTTAGTTGCGTAGAATGGGAATGGGGTGTAGAGAATTCTCAACGTGCTAGTGTGCATGTAGTGTAGTGCCATGTAGTACCGGTAGTTTGGCTGGATGAGTGGACGGAGAGAGAGGCTGTAGGTTTGGGGTAGCGTAGCAATGGCAAAGCGTATGCTAGAGTAGAGAGATGTGAACGGACGGCCAGAATTAAAGAAAGCTGGAAATGGTATTATCGTGAGCAGAGTACCGGTAATATCATCTTATTACACCACCTTATGTAGTGAAATCACTTATATCAGAATACTGACATTTGGATAACGAGTTCATTCTTTCGGCGTACCCAAGCGAAGACGTGAACGCTGTGCTGTGCATGGCGTGCCGTCGTGTAGCAGCCCTCCCGCAGATCAAGGGGATGCGATGAGATTACAATCCACGACGCCTCGAGACGTCCCGTGCGAAAGTTGTCACTTCGGGTTTAGAGGATGTGATGTGATGGGGAGATGAGATAAGCAGCGGTGTGGTTGGGTGTGTATTTTTTGGGAATTCTCAATAGTGACTTGATTATGTGCCATTGCTGTCCTCCTGGCCTGTCCGCGCGCGACCGCGACCTGCCGATACAGCTCTCCCCGCGCTCAACTCCACTCCACTCCCCTGCACTCCAATGCACCCACTCCTCTCCTCGTGCCCCTGCTCGTACTCTCTCTCTCTGCTCGGCGAGATTCAGTCGTGCTCTTGAACGAATTTGCGAATTGCGCGTGAGCGGGTTTAGCGGGCTCTGCGCATATCCTCTGTCCGCATATCCGCTTTGCGCCCTACGCTCCCCACCGCCTTCAAAGGCGCCTTGCGTGTTGGGACGCCTCAAAAGCTCTCAAACTCGCTCGCTCGCTCTCGAGGGCTGCTTGCGCCGCCGAGAAGCCGTGGTTCAGACGTTGTCCGCTCTGACGATATTTGTCCGCTCAGACGTCTCAAAAGCCGCCGAGAAGCCGCGGCTCGGACGTTGTCGGTTCGGGCGATAAGCCAGCCGGGGAACGACAGAGGGGGGAAACGCGATGGCTGGCGGAAAGAAAAAAGGCGGAAAGGGCGCGAAAGCCGCGGCGCTGGCGGAAGAGAAGAAGCAGCAAGAGGAGCAGCAGAAGCAGCAGCAGCAACAGCAGGAGGAGGAGGAGGAGAAGGAGAAAGAGGACGTCGCGTGCGCTCTAGACCCGGATGTGGCGGCGGCGCTTGCGGCGCTCATGGTCCCTATCGACTCGCCGCTAGCGCGCTGCGTCGTCCGCGACGACCGCCGCGAATTGCGGCGTGTAATCCGGCAGGCGCTAGAAGCGCTCGGGCTAGCGGAGATTCTAGTGGTGGAGGCTGGGGAGGACGAAGAGGAGGAGGAGGGGGAGCGGGAGGAGGAGGAGGAGGGGGCGAAGGAATGGAAAGAGGTTGAGCTGGCTCAAACGGGAGGCCTGGGAAGAGACGGGAAGGGTGGCAAGGACGGGAAAGGGGGGAAGGGGAAGGAAAAAAGCAAGGGGAAGGGTAAAGGGAAGGGAAAGGGGGGCAAGGAGAAAGGGGGAGGGGGCAAGGGGGCAGGAGAGGGGGGCGAGGAGGGGGAGGAGAGGAAAGGGAAGAGGGGGGAGAGAGAGGTGAAGTTGGAGAGGGCTGGGGAGGTGGTGCGACGGGCGCTGGCGTGCGCGTGTGTGTGCGATGCCGTGGCATGCTGCCAGGCTGTCATCGCAATCACGCCCGCTGGTGCTGACGTGGAGCCTAATCACGTGAGTGTGCCGGTGACGTGCTCTGGAAGTGGATGGATCAGGGATGGGGGGTGTGGAAATTGGGGGGAAACGGGGAGAGGAAAAAAAAGAATAGCGGGAATAGCGGGAGAGGGGGATAGGGGATAAGGGGTTCGGGGGGATCAGGATGAGGAGATGGATAATCATCGATGCATGTGTGCATGCATGCACATACATGCGTGAATGGGTTGAAGCAGGTCGGCGGACATGCGTGCCCCCCCCATGTCCCTCCCTGTCCGGTCCGGTCCTGTCCACCCCTGCTCCCCAGCAGCCATGTTGGGCGGTGAGGGTGGACGAGATTACCGCGCGAGCACAGCACGGGAGGCACCACGTGGGTGCGCTCACAGCCCTGCACATGGCCGCGCGCTTCCACAGGTGTGTGTGTGTGCACTCGTGCTGCTGGGCCGGGCCGTGGTGGGGCATGGTGGGGTGGGGAGTGGAGGGGAATGGTGGGGAATGGTGGGGATTGGGGAGGCCATCTGTTGGATTGGATTGGATACACAGCGTTCACAGCACTAGTCCCCAACACAGTCCTCTTGGCAAGATTCTTCTGGTCTGGTCAGGCACACTGCGCTGCAGCGCTGCTGCCTGTCATGCCACCTGCCCGTCACCATCACATCCCTCCCTCCACACCATCCCTCCACCTATCCCACCCATACCTGCACTGCGTGCTGCCTCCCCCCCTCCCTCCCTCCCCTCCTCCTACCGTCCCCCGTGCGGCTGTGCGTGTGAGCAGTGCGCGGTGCATAGCAGCCCTGCTGGCAGCAGGGGCAGACGCGAGCCTGGCAGCGGGGCCGCTGGGGCTCACCGCACTCGAGGAAGCTCTGCTCTCCAAGCGACTGCACGTGAGTGGAGGGGGGGGAGGGGGGGGGGAGTGGGGTAACAGGCGAGTGGTTGGGTAGGGACGCACAACGCACCCATGCTGACAAGTGTAGGCTCCATCTGCTCTTTCATCCCACTTTCCCTCCCCCACCCCCCGCCGCTCCGCTCCCCTCCTCTCCCCTCGCCACCTCGTGCAGTTTGACTGGGGGGCGCAGACAGCACCGCTGCGAGTGGTGAACACGCTGAGGCACGAGCGCAACCTCGACTCCATCCGCCTGCTGCACCAGGTGCTCATCACATCGCTCATGCTGTGTTGGGGTCATTTTTGAGAATCATGAGACGAGTAGAGAAGAAAAGAAAACCACGCTCAGGCACGAGTGCAACCTCGACTCCATCCGCCTGCTGCTCCAGGTGCTCATCATTCATGCTGCTGCTGCTGCTGCTTCTGCCGCTGCTGCCACCGCCGCCGCCGCCGCTGCTGCTGCCGCCGCTGCTGCTGCCGCCACCGCCGCTGCTGCTGCCGCTGCCGCTGCTGCTCCTGCCGCTGCCACTGCTGCTGCTGCCGCTGCCGCCGCTGCTGCTGCGGCTGCTGCCTCTTTGCCGGTACCTGTGTGTGTGTCCTTTCCCCAAGAGCCTCGCTCACCCCCCCTTCCCCCCTTTCCTTTCTCCGAACTTCCCCTCCCATCTTGCCCCTCAGCACGCCTCTGACGCTCTCCGTGTGGCATTCACGCTAGCCGGCTGCTTCCGCCTGGTGCCACTCGTCGCGCTGCTCCTCTCGGGGGGCTCGCCCCTCATGAACGCAGCGGTGCCCCCCTCGCAGCACCCCTGGTTCGCCGCCGTCTCTCTCGGCGCGTGCCAGTGGATGCACGGCCACCCCTCTCTCACCCTCCTGGATGTTATCCTCTCCAATCTCCTCGACCTCTCCCGCGTGCCGTTGGCGAGGGCCCGCGGGGGTCGTGGGAGCGAGCGAGAGGAAGAGGACGAGGAGGAGGATGAGATGTACCTTGATGCTTGCGAGGATGGGGATGGGGTTTCGTCGCCTAGATCCTGTGACCGGCGTGTGAGGAGCGAGAGGAGTGAGAGGAGTGAGCGGAGTGAGCGGAGCAGGAGGGTGCATCATTCGAAGCGTGCGGCGTGGCTGGGCGCAATGGGGGTAATGCTGCTGGAGCCGTGGCAGGAGGTGCTGGTGGGCGAGCAGGAGAAGGAGCAGCAGGAGCGCGAGCAGCAGCAGGTGCTGCGACTGCTGCACGCAGAGCGAGAGAAGCGCGAAACTGAGCACGGCAACGGCAACGGGGTGTCGGAGAGCAAGCAGGGGAAGAAGAAGAAGGCAGCAAAGGAAAAGCGAGCGGCAGAGGCAGCGGGAGGAGCAGCAGGAGGAGCAGCAGGAGCAGCGGAGGCACGGTGTCAGGAGCTGCGGATGCGAGGCCTGAAGGTGCTGGAGGCGTTTCTGCTGTTCAACCCGCCGTTGTCAGGGCACGGGCCGAGCGTGCACCAGGTGCCGGTGGTGCGAGCAGCAGCAGGCAATGACGGCATGGTGGTGGGACTGCTGCTGGATGCTGGCGCTGCTGTCAATGACAGCGATGGGGATGGCAACACTGCGCTCCACTGGGTGCTCCGACAGGTGTGCGTGGGAGGAAGGTGGGGGGGGGGAGAGGGGGGATGCTCGGTGAGGGGTGAAGGGGTTGGGGGGGGCATCAGGTGGGAGGTTGTTGGTGCAACAGGTGCCGTAGGTGCCTGTGGTGCGGGCAGCAGCGGGCAATGAGGGCATGGTGGTGGGGTTGCTGCTCGACGCCGGTGCGGCTGTGAATGACAGCGATGGGGACGGCAACACCGCTCTGCACTGGGTGCTCCGACAGGTGCGGTGCGGTGCGGTGAAGTGTGGATGGGGGGAGACGACGGATGGGCGCAGATTGGAAGAGGCGGGGTGGGGGTTGAAGAGATGCTGCTTTTTAGGAGCCGTAGGCAGTGTGGCTAGGGCCCCCCCCCAGCTACCTCGTCCCTGCCTGTTTCATTCCCTTGACCTCTCTGCCTGCCCTATCCTCCCCTCCGGGCCTCCCCTCCACCCGCACCATCCCCTTGAACCAAATCACCCCCCCCCCCCAGGCGACCCCATGGAACGGGCGGCCAGTGGACACGGCCATTCTGTCGCAGCTCATATCAGCGGGCGTGAGTGTGCTGGCGGGGAACCACGCGGGGGCATCGCAGCCACCTGTTCTCCATCCCTCTCCCTTCCCTTCTTCTTTGCATGACCACCTCCCTCCCCACCCACCCACCCACCCACCCACCCACCCACCCACCCACCCACCCACCCACCCACCCACCCACCCACCCGCCCACCCACCCACCCACCCGCCCACCCACCCGCACCATCCCCCCAATCCAACCCCTCCAGGCGACCCCATGGAACGGGCGGCCAGTGGACACGGCCATTCTCTCGCAGCTCATATCAGCGGGGGCGAGTGTGCTGGCGGGGAACCACGTGGGGGCGACGGCGGTGCACACGGCAGCGGGGCACGGGCACAGTGAGGCGCTGGATGTGCTGCTGGGCCGCGAGGCCGCTGCTGCCAACGCCGTCACTGCTGCCCGCGAGACTCCCCTGCACTACGCCGCTCGGGTGAGCGCTGGGGGTGGGTTCTCGCTGGGGGTGGGTTACGCTAGGGTGGGTTTTGTTGTAGGTGTTGTTGTGAATGTTCTGTAGCAGAAATACGCCGTCACTGCTGCCCGGGAGACTCCCCTGCACTACGCCGCTCAGGTGAGGCTACAGGGATGCGTTTTGTCGCAGCTGCTTCTCGGGAACACTCGAAAAATGCTGCCGCTGTTGCTCGGGAGACTCCGCGGCACTACGCTGCTTGGTGGGAGATGGGTGGGGAGATGAGCGGGCGTAGTGGGACCGGGAGTGTGGTGTGATGATGCTCGTGGGCGTATGCTGGTGGTGAGTGGGGGAGCAGCACGTGCGTTGAGCCTGTACAATCATTCTTGCATTGTAATTCGTTACCTGTTCCGCACGGCACATGTAACAGATTACAACCCTCGCGGCCTTAGTACATTCCCTGTCCTCCGCCTCCATTCCCCCCACGCCCTCCTTCTTGCCAGCACGACCACGTGGCATGTGCGGCGGTGCTGCTATCCTTTGGTGCATCAAACAGCGTAGAAAACGCAGGGGGCTGGAGGCCCGGGCAGCTTACCTCATCCGCAGAGCGTTGAGTCAACTCAAAAGCCACTCCCCTTCCTCCCCTACTCCCCCCGCACCAGCATGACCACGTGGCATGTGCGGCGGTGCTGCTATCCTTTGGTGCATCCAACAGCATAGAAAACGCAGGGGGCTGGAGGCCCGGCCAGCTCGCCACGTCCGCAGAGCTCCGCCAGATGCTGGGCGAGACTGGGCCCCCCATGCCCCGGGGCGAGGGGCGCGGGGGAGGCGGTGAGTGGGGCGCGTGGGGCGGAGGCGACTCTGCTGCTTCTGATGCGGATGGGGATCGGCCTTGGGATGCCTCTGTTTCTTCCGGTGGTGGTGGTGGTGGGGGGTCGGGTGCTCCCCCGTGGGCTGATTCGTTGCATCAGCTGCGGCTGGGGTGGAAGGAGACGCAGCAGCAGCAGCAGAAGCAGAGGCAGAAGGAGCAGAAGAAGCAGCAGAAGGAGCAGCAGCAACAGCAGGAGCAGGAGCAGCAGCAGCAGCAGCAGAAGGAGCAGAAGCCAGGATACAATCCAAACTACAAGTACAAGACGTTGCTGTGTCGGCGGTGGTCTAGCACAGGCTCTTGCAGTCTGGGCTCGCAGTGCACGTTTGCACACGGGCAGAAGGAGCTACAACAGGTGCCCAAACCACCCCCCCGCGGCCCACCACCAGCCTGGAAGAACGCGGCTGCTCCCAGTGCTGCTGCTGTTGCTGTTGCCGCAGGTTGGGATACTGTGGCTGCTCCTGGCGGTGGTGGCGGTGGCAGTGGCAGTGGTGAGAGCAAGGGCGGCAACAATCTTGTTCCATGGGAGAGCAGCTCAAATGCCTGGGGCAGTGCAAGCGGAGGAGCAGGAGGCAGGGAGGCAGGGTCATGGGAGTGGGGTGACCAATCAGAGGAGTCCAGGAGCACAGGCGCTGACAGCTGGGGGGGTGGCAGCACCAGCAGTGGCAGCGCCAGTGCTGCTGCTGGTGGTGGTGGTTTCCTTGGTGGCTTTCTAGCAGGGCGAGGCAACAAGTCTATTGCTCTCTCAAACGACCTCGCTCTGCAGCCCTAGTGAGTCACCACTCTCGCCTCTCTCGGCTCCTCGCTTTCATCTCCCTCTCCCGCCACTCTCCTCTCTCCACCTCCCCATTTCCTCGCCTCCTCACCTCCCTCCTCCCATCCTCCAACAAGCTGTTCTCTCTAAATCCGTTCTCTTCCTCAACCCCCTTCACTCTCCTTTCTATCACCCAACTCCCCTACCCCACCCCTCGCAGCAAGATATTCGTGGGCGGGTTACCGTACGACGTGGCATCGGACGACCTGGCATCGCACTTCGAGGAGCACTACGGGGGAGTGGTGGACGCCGTGGTGATGTATGAGCCCGACCGCGCAGCCAGTGAGCCGGGGGCCATGCGCTCGCGAGGGTTTGGCTTTGTGGTGCTGGACTCAAGGGAGACAGTGGCACGGTTGCTTGAGAAGCACTTCGTGCCGCTGGGCGGCCGCATGGTGGAGGTGAGTGAGTGTGTGAGCATGGTGGCTGCGTCTGAGGTGCCCCGTTATCTGCGTGCCTTTCGCTTCGTGGTATGCTCCACTCTCGGGAGACAGTAGTGCGCGCATGCTGGGCAGCCGCATGAAGGAGGTGAGTGCCTCACCACCACCTACTTTCTGCCCCCCCCGTGTCGTTCCAGCATCCTCAATGCCTTTCTCCCCCCCCCTGCCCCTTTGCCCCCTCTATTCAACACAGCAATCCCTCCTTGATTTCTCTGCTTGCAAAGCGCATATTTTGATTTTTGGGCTCATCGAAAGTCGTCTTAATGTGTGTTCGCCCCCTTCCCCTCCCCCGTGCGCTCACTTATGTCGTTCAAATTTAAACCACAGATCCGAAATGCTTCCAGGCGAGGAGGGTTCTCTCCTGCTACTGCTGTTGCTGCTGCCACCACTGCCCCCACCGCTGCCACCACTGCCGCTGCTTCTCGTCCCGCTGCTAAATCTTCAGCTGCCAACCACACCAGCAGCACTACCACCAAAGCCACTGTCAAAGCACCACAGCCCCACAAGGCTCACCCCTCCCCCCATCCCTCCCCCCATCCCTCCGCACACCCCTCCCCTCATCTCTCGGCCCATCCCTCCCCCCATCCCTCCGCTCACCCTTCCCCTCACCTGTCGCCCCATCCCTCCCCCCATCCTTCCACAAACGCGTCCCCTCTCCCCTCGCCCCATCCCTCCCCCAGTCACAAACAGAAACGCCCACCCCCACAGCCGTCACATGATGTGCCTCCCAATCCCCCACACACCACCAACCCATCTGCACCGCTCTATCCTGACCAACCGCACCACCTGGATCATCCAACCGAGCAGCAGCAGCAGCAGCAGCAGCAACAGCAGCAGCAGCAGCAGCAGCAGCAGCCCGCCAATCCTATTTCCCAGGTCCGTCCCCCTCCTGGGTTCCCTTCTACTGCTCAGGACCCACATCAAGCCTCCATGGGGCCTCAGCCAGACTCTTGGGGCGGCACCGCTGCTGCTCCTCCCAGTGCTGCTGCTGCGCCTGTTCCCGCACCACATGGAAGGGCAGCGAGTGCAAGGAAGGTGCTGTCGCTGGGTGAGGTGGAGGCAGAGCTGCATCAGCCCGTGCAGCAGCCGGTGCAGCCGCCAGTGCAGCAGGAGCAGGCGAGGGGTGGCGTGGAGGCGTGGGGAGGCCAGCAGGTGCAGGCACAGCAATCAATCCAGAACCAGCTGCTCTTGCAGCAGCAGCAGCAGCAGCAGCAGCAGCAGCAGCAGCAGCAGCAGAAAGAGGAAGAGCAGCGGCTGCAGCAGTGGCAGCAGCAGCAACAGGAGCAGCGGGAGCAGGAGCATCAGCAGCAGCAACAAAAACAGCAGCATAACAAGCAGCAGGCGTATCAACAGCAGCAGCAGAGCCAGCCTTCAGACTCCCACCTGGTGGAGCAGCAGCGGCAGTTGTTGCAACAGCAGCATGACCTGCAGCAGCAGCTGCTAGCACTCCAGCAGCAGATCCTCTTAAGCCAACACCACCTGGCCACCCCGCCTACTGCCCTCACCTCCTCCTCCTTCCCCACTCCCTCTCCCAACACCACTCTCTTGCCCCCCACGCTACTGTCAGCATCCACACCTACAGACCTGTCCGGATCTGCTTCGTTCTACCCAGGAGCAGCAGCAGCAGCACACATGCCCATGTCACATAAGCCGTTTGCCACGCAGGTGTTCAATCCGCAGGCATTCGCTCCGCCTGGGTTCTCATTGCCCGGTGCAGCACATTCACATACACAAGCACCTGCACTGGCGCCTGTGCCTGTGCTTGCAGCAGCACACCCCCCTGCTATGATGCAGCACGCAGCAGTGGGTTCGGGAAGGGCAGAAACAGCGGGAGAGGGGGGTGTGGCGGAGGGGGGAGAGGAGGATGAGCTGGCGAGCCTGCTGTCCATGCTGAATGCAACTGGGTGATCAAGAGGTTACCCATGAAGCCTTAGGTGGAGCAGTGCACCGGAGCTCTGCGCTGCACACTGCAGTGCAGAGCAGAGCAGGGGATGCCACGCCACGCACATTACAATAAGTTTGTAACCCTGTAACAGGGGCGCAGCAGTTCACTAACTCACGACTATCCTGTGGCGGTTCACTCACAAGCAGAATGAGCTACGGTATCACGAGGTGGAATAGTCATTCAATCGACTCGGTCGGTAGGCATAGCTTGTTCAATGATCATCATGATTAGCAGAAGTGAGAATCTTATTAGGTCACGACTCACAACTTACTAGTGCCAGTCAGTGCCTGTGCTGGGATTTTGAGCACCCTGCCTGAGCCTTGGGCAAAGAAGAAGAAAAAAAGTAGTGATTGCACAAGTACTGTTGCATGTGACTGATTAGGTGGAAAAGTAGGTGATTGGTCACTCAGAGCTAACATCTTTCTACACAGCAAAGCCGTGGTATCTGTATGGTAAGCTACCGCAAAGTTTGTGCACCGGTGGTCTAATCAGGCCCAACCAATCCTAACCTAATTTTGAGCAATAACAATCAGCCACATGGTGGATAGGAATACACGCAAGGCACCAGAGACGTCTGCATCAGACGAGATCAGTCAGATAATCTGAATTTCAGACCTGTGGTCATCTGATAGTAGGCAAGCCAATAATGTTCGTCTGAGCGTTCAGAATTATGTAGTAGGTCTGATTCTTCAGATATCTTATACCTGTGTAGATTCGCCAACAATACAGGTAGTATTTTCCTGTCTGGCTCACAATATTCCGCCTCCATCCGTTTCAAATTCGTCAGCATCCCTGGAAGTGAACGTCGAGAAATGTGGAGAAATGACAACCGTCAGAGCTCTGGTAACATGAAATCCAAGGGCTGAAATGTGTCGACATCCCTCGACGGATGTCGTTGTCCCTTCGAGCACGATTTAGAGAGTTTCATCTCTTTCTTTGAACGGGTGGAATTTGTCGGTGAGGCTCGTTGATTGACGTTGACTTCCTGATCGGCTCATCTTCAAAGTTTCAGTGCACGGAAATCGTGGCATCGACCAGTGCCGTAGGGTTTTGTGTAAATGCCCGAGAATGAAAATAATCTGAAATGTTTCGTATGAAAAATACGTCCGAATGGGAATCTGTAAGCGCCAAGACCTAAATCAGACCCTGGAAAACGGGATGCGGTAGATCTATGTTTAAGGTAGTGCAGGGTATGAACCCTGAACCCCCACGTTTTAAATCGCGGAACCGTTTCTAGCCCGTGGCTTCAGCCACGTCACGGGTATTGTACGCAGTTCAACATGCAGGAGTTGACCGTTTTCTCCGTACGAGTACAGTAGGACATGCTTGAGACTGGAGAGGAGACTTCAAGCTGGACCTTCCTACAATTGATGTACGACGTGCCCACGATGATTGATGGCATTCAAACTGGACCTTCCTACGACGTGCCCACAATTATTGACGTGCCTTTGTTCTTTCGGGCAAAGAACCCGGCCAAAGCGTGTCTTCACCCTGGCCATCTCCAGTTGAAGAAAAACACCAGGAAAGGCGGCGCGCGTGTTCGCTTCCCTTTCCCCCTTCACTACTAGTACCTGTCCTCCGCGCCTACCGCTGCATCAGCACATGGAGACGTAGTAGTACTGTACCAGCGCGTAAATGAGCTGGCTTGCATGAAATGTACAACTAGCTTGACGGAATCACTGAACCCAAGGTTGGTGACGTCGCCGATTCACGCGACGCGACGTCTCACGCTCGCAGAGCGCAGGCGGGTTCCGTGCCGTGCGCTCACTGTATAATAGCACACACCACCGACTATCATGGCCACCAAAAGAGAACATTCAGAATTCAGTAGACATACTATTGGAACACGAATTTCTGCATACCATTCCCCCAGCTGCCCACAGGTGGTGGTAACCCTAACGCCGGCAGGCACAACACCCTCCGCAACAACCCGCCATTTTCACCGTGTCGAACCACGCCATGGTTTCTCCCCTCGGTTTCTAGCATCCATCCTTAGTATATATTCCCTATCCGTTCCAGTTCCAAATATCGTCGCAGCAGTACTAATAATACTATCACCGTCGCAGCCGCCGCAGCGATTGCACCACGCATACCCTCATGATTACTACCATGGCCTCCGTCGCTCGCCCGCCGACCTCTCGCACCAGCCACCGCCGCTCCGCCTCTTCCCGCCCCTTCCGCGCATTGTCTCCGCTCTCCGCGCTGCTCCTTGCCGCGTGCTGCCACCTCGCGCTCTCCCCGAACCGCGGGGTCCTGCCTGTGGCGCGTGCGACGCCGCAAGTCCCGTGGGATAACTTCACCTCGCCGTGCACGCCGCTCTCAGACCCTCCCCTCGCCGGTACGTCACTGGTCGTCCTGCCCGTGGCGCGTGGGACGGCCGCCGCAAATCTAGCAGTACAACGCAGTCTATTGCAGTCCATATAAGCGGCACTGGCCGCCGCTCACCTGGTTTTACAAGGTCGTTTCTGATCCGTTCTCTGCACCCCGCTTCCTTTCCTCCACCCTATCCCTCCTCCCTTTCCCCCCACGCCCGTTCTCTCATCCCTTGCCCCCCTTTTTCCCCCCTCTTTCCTCTCCTCTTCTCCTCCTCTCCCCCCCTTCTTCCCTCCAGGCTTCAAGCTGTGGAGCGATGCAGCGACGTGGCCGGGAGGAGTGGTGCCGGGCGTGGGGGCGGGCAAGGGCGGCAACGCCACCATCCCGTGCGGAGTGGCCTTGCTTCTCGACATGCCCTCTGTCGTGCTCTCCACCCTCACCATTCGGGGCATGCTCAAGTGAGCAGGAGTGGGGAGGGTTGAAGTGGAGTGAACGGGAGTGAGCAGGAGTGAGGAGGAGTTTACAGTAGTGAGCAAGAGTGAGAATGCTCCCCCTCCGTCTCCATATCTCCGCACCGTCTCCACCCCTTTTCTTCCCCCCCTGCCCCCCTAAATCTTTCCCGAATCTCCCGCCGACTCTCCCTCAAACCCCCCCCGAATCCTTCCTGGACCCCCCCGAATCCCCCCCGAAAGCCCCCTCGAATCCCCCCCCAAACCTTCCTGAATCCCCACTGACTCCCCCGATGTGCTATTGGCAGAATCGAGGACACAGCATCACGGCCGGTGGTGCAGGTGAACGCGTCGTTTGTGATCGTGGAGGGGCAGCTGATCGTGGGCAACAGCACCAACCACTTCTCCCAGCGGGTCGTCTTCACGCTCACGCACAACCCCAACGGCCGTGCGCCTTACCAGTACACTGCCAACGCACCCGCTGACCCCGCCAACCCCCGCAACTTCGGCCACAAGGCCTTCGTCGTGGTGCGTGCCCTGCTGCATATTTGGGGTGGAATGCTGCATGGTGCTGCGCTCTGCTGTGCTTTGCAGTGCCAGGGTCCCACCTGTCATGGTGGCCCCATCCCCATCCCCATCCCAATTCCCATCCCCACCACCCCCACCCCCATTTCGCCCCGCTCTCCCCTCAGGTGGGAGGGCAGGTGAGCATGCACGGCATGCCGGGCGGCTCCTCGACTCCCTCCTGGTGCCGTCTGGCAGCGACAGCACAGGCGGGCGATTCAGCCATCATAGTGGACCGGGACGTCACGGCATGGCCCGTGGGCTTCTATGTTGGCCTCGCCTCCACCGACTTCTATGCTGATCAAATCGACGTTGCCAAGATCGTTGGTGGTGAGCTGTTGAAAGAGAGTCTGAATCAACCATGTGTTCGGAAAGAAGTTCACGCCACTTCCCGCTATGCCAGCTGCTCATAGGAATCCGGAAACAAAAGTCTGCATCCCCATCATCACCCTACCCCCCTGCTGCAGTGACTGCCATGCCCGGCAACAAGTGGAAAGTGGCGCTGAGCGCGCCGCTCTCCTACAGCCACTTCGGAGAGGTGGTGCCCGATGGGTTCGGCGGCACGATAGACGAGCGCGGGGAGGTGGTGCTGCTGAACCGCACAGTGGCCATTCGAGGGGAGGACGAGGCGGCACCGCACAACTGGGAGGGCGGGCACTTCATGGTGTTCTTCACTCAGACCGCGCAGATGATAGAGGGCGTGGAGTTTGCCCAGATGGGGCAGCAGGGGCAGCTGGGGCGCTATAACATTCACTTCCACCTGTGTGGGAACCAGGCGGGGAAGAGTGTGGTGCGCAAGAACGTCATGCATGACAGCAAGCAGGTGGGTGGGTGCTGCGTGCTGGGTGTGTGCTGCTGTGTGCTACGTGCCGTGCTCTGTGCGCTGGATTCATTGATTTCACTCTGCTGTGCTTGGCTTGCCTCTGCACATGTGTGCTTCTTTCTTTCCGCAATCTTTCCAAGTCCTCGTCAGACGTCCAATGATCCCTCCATCCTCGTCCCCTCTCCTTCTCTCCTCCTTCCTTCCCCTCCACTCTCTGCCTCCCCGCTGCCCCCTTCTGCTCCCGCCCCCCACCCTCCCCCATGCAGCGCTGTGTGGTGGTGCACGCCACCTTCAATCCTCATCGCGTCCCCTTCTCACCCCCCTCCCCCATGCAGCGCTGTGTGGTGGTGCACGCCACCTTCAATCCTCATCGCGTCCCCTTCTCACCCCCCTCCCCCATGCAGCGCTGTGTGGTGGTGCATGCCACGTTCAATCTGACGGTGGAGGAGAACGTGGCGTTCAACACGAGAGGGCATTGCTTCATGGTGGAGGAAGGGGGCGAGCAGGGCAACTCCTTCATCCGCAACCTCGGCGTCTGGACGCGCCCAGGTGTGTACACGCCTCTTGTCGGCATCTGGACGCGCCCAGGTGTGTACACGCCTCTTGTTGGCATCTGGACGCGCCCAGGTGTGTACACGCCTCTTGTCGGCATCTGGACGCGCGCAGGTAATTACCGCGCTTGCTCGCACACACCTCATTCCACACACCTCATTCCACACACCTCATTCCACCACACTGCGTTGTTCTCTTGGTTCTGCGTATTTACCATCTGCTGCAAGCTGTCTGGGATTGTTGCTCTGTGTGTGTGCCTGACTCTGTCTGTGTATGTGTCTGCATACTTGCAGTGGAGGTGAAGATATCAAGCGACGAGACGGATGACGAGCCATCCACATTCTGGATCACCAACCCCAACAACAACTATATTGGGAATGTCGCCGCCGGCTCAGAAGACACCGGGTGCGTGGCCGGATGGGTGGGTGGGTGGTTGGGTGGATGGGTGGGTTTTCCTGGGAGCAGAATGGCTTGGCAAGCATTCACCTTACTCCCCATTCCGCCCCCATCAACTCAACACCTCTCTCTCCCTTCCCCCAACCCCCTGTCTGCACGGCACCAGCTTCTGGCTCGAGCTACGGGACGAAGTGAGGGGGCTGTCATCGCAGTGGCCAGAGATCAACACGCTGATCCCCTTCAACTACCACCGCGTGGGAAAGTTTGAAGGCAACGTGGCGCACTCGTGTGAGGTTGGCTTCCGTGACTACCCCGGGGGCTTCAACCCCCGCTTCAACGCCTCCACCCTCGACCAGGACGAGACCTACGTGCGTTGCGTCTCTACGCCCTCTTTCACATGTCTCGCCACAACCCTCATTGCCTGCTTGCATGCTCTCTCATGCCTCCTCTGTGCCCAGCCCCCTGCTGCCCCGTGCCAACCCCCCCGCTGCCACCTGCTGCTTCCTGCGTGCCTTATGCTCTCCCTGCTCTCTCTCCTCTAAAGTGTGTCTCGTACTGTGCCTGCTGACCATGCGTTCAGCTGTTTCTTGCGACTCACAGCTGTGTCCTGCCCTGTGGTGTGTGTGTGTGATCCCCTTGCACATCGTTTGAGCCGCCTCATAAGTCATAACATCCGTGCTGCTCTGCTCCTTCACCACCAGCATATGCCCCTCCCTCCCATGCGCCTTGTGTTGTGCCCCTCTGTTGATCTTATCTCATGGCAGTGGGACCATCCAGTGTGGGTGACCATCCGTGTGCGTGTGTGTGCGTGTGCCCAGCATTGTAAAATCGAGGACATGAGCCTCCCTCCCTCCCTCCCATGTGCCTTTTATCCTGGCAGTGGGACCATCCAGTGTGGGTGACTATCTCGGGCTTCACTCTCTATAAGAACACCTACGCGGGGTAAGCTAAGCCCACCCATGCTCCCACTCTCTTCCTCTTCCTCGCCCCTCTTTCCCTTCCCTTTCCCCTTCCCTTTCCCCTTCCCTCCCTTCCCTACCCTACCTCCCATGCAACTTGCTCCCCATTCTCTTCCGCGCGTCCTCCCTTCTCCTCTCTCCCCACTCCACCCCAGCGCATGCTACACAACACGGTCTACATGGTGGATTCACACCGGTTCACTTGCCATAGCAGCACCATGCACGCATCATGCGCCCTCATCCTCTCCTCTCTCACCCCCCTCCTCCCCATGCCCCACCCCCCACCCCACCCCTGCAGGGCGTTCATCCACAACACGGACTACGTGGTGTTTGACGGCTTCACAGCAGCGGACAACGTGTGGGGGGTGGAGATGTCTCAGGTGGAGGGCATTGTCATGCGCAACCTCAGGGTGGTGGGGCACACCACCAACTACGGCAACCCCTATGACTGCACCGACCCGGACTCTGACGGCTGCGCTCCGGTCTCCGGCTGCAAGTGAGTGAGGGAGGGTGTGAGGGAGTGTGTGGCGGAGGGAGGGACTGAGGGAGGGACTGAGTGATTGAGTGAGAGGGTGGTTGGCTTGGCTGCGTGCTTCTTTTCCGTGGTAAGACCACCAGCTCTCCTCTCTTGTGGAGTGAGGTCACTCCTCTCCTTTCTCTCTCTCCTCCTGCTCCGCCACCTCCTCATTTCCACACGCTCCTCTCCTTCCTTCCTTCTCTACGTGGCAGGTTTCCATTGGCGGAGGGGCAGCAGGGGCGCAGTGTGGGGGATGGGGGGCTTAATGAGCCCGTATACGGGCTGGTGTTGACGCAGAGCCCATGGTTCACTGATGGGCTCTTCAACAACGTTGTTGACGGCGCTAAGTGCGTGCATGCATGCACCCATGCATTCATGCATTCATGGACCCATGCATCCATGCATGGGGCATAGCGTTGAGCGCGTGGGGCATAACATGTGCTGCATGGGCTGAAGCATGGTACCCTGTCCGGGCATGGTCTGGCACAGCGCTACTCAGCATGGCACAGCATCATCATCAGCATCAGCATCATCATCATCATCAGCATCAGCATCAGCATCAGCATCAGCATCAGCATCAGCATGATCATGCGCTCGCATCTCCCCCTGCCCTCCTCCACAACCCCATCCCGCGCACCCACCATGCAGGTTCGATGGGTTTGACAGCACGTGCAAGCCGTCTGCAGCGGTGGCGGTGGGGGGGGACATGGGAACGTACTGGAATGCAGGCAACAGCCTCAAGGTGCCTTGCAGCCCTTGTCTTTCACGGCCCTTCACTTCTGCTCTCTGCTCTCTGCTCTCTGCTCTCTGCTCTCTGCTCTCTGCTCTCTGCTCTCTGCTCTCTGCTCTCTGCTCTCTGCTCCCTGCTCTTTCTCTCCTCACAGTTGCACCCGCATCATCATGTGTCGTTCCAAAGTACCAAGTGCGTTTGCAGTATCAAGGCAGCAGCATCTCCTCATATCTCCGATTCCTGATTGCAATTGCACCCATGGACCGTTGCTGCTTGCACATGCTTACCAAGTAAACTCCCAAGAAAGCCAATTCTTCCCTGCCGCACTAACAAATGGTCATTTACCCCCTACTCCTGCTACTCCCCCCATCACCAGAACCTCAAGTTCAGCACTGAAACACGGACCAACCCAGTGTTCGTCCAGCCTCGGAAATACCCTTCCAGAGTGAGTCGCCATGCCAACCCTACACCACCCCTTATGTGCTCGCCGCACTGCCACGCACGTGATCGGTTTAGATGGTGAATACAAATTCTTTCGCTGTCCGTGCTTCTTGCTTTTGGCTATCCTTGTATCACTTCACCCTCTCAAACGTGATAAGAATCATGCCCTTGGCAGGAAAACCCGTACGACGACTCACAGTTCCAGTCTCAACACATCTCAACTCGCATTATCTCCCTCTCACCCTCCTCTCCTCCACTCCCTTCTCTCTCCCGTGTGCCTGACCCTGAGCAGTACGACCAGTCAGAGGTGGAGGACCATGGGGAGGCAGCGACACAGGTGGCGTTGAGGGACTTGGACGGCAGTATAGTGGGGTCGGCGCTAGGCAAGAGCTCCGTTGGCGAGAACACACTCCCTTCTGCTGCCGCTGCTGCTGCTGGCGCTAGCGAAGCGGTTGCTGCTGTTGCTGCTGCTGATGGTGATAATGGTTCTCCAAGGCCCAGTGCTGCAATCCCTGCGTCCCTTGGCAAGCTTGTCCCGGCACAGAAAGCTTACCCTCAGCACCACCGTCGCCTGCTAGTCGCGGCGTCTGCTGCTTCTTCTGCTGCTTCTGCTGATGCTGCTCCTGCTGTTGCTGCGGCGGCTGCTGCTACTGCTGCAAGCTCCCGTCGTCGCATGCATGGCACAGGCACTGCAGCTTCTGCTGCGGCTACTACTTCTGCTCTCAAGAAAACTGGCAGCCGACCTAGCAATTACTACCCCAGGCCCCGCTCACCCAAACGCTCACGCGCTTCCCGTAGAAAGCCCGTTTCTTCTGCCCGCTTGCCTGCCCGCTCCTCCTCCTCGTCCTCCTCCTCCTCCCCTCTCTCCACTCCCTTGCCGTCCGGCTTCCTAGTCGCCAACAACACAGCGGTGCTCCCCCCGCTGACCCCCGCAGGCACGTACGGCTCCTGCAAGCCCATGCCCGGAGCCAATGCATACGCGTGCCCCTCGCTCGCACACTGCTTCCGCACCGTCAACGTCCGCTACCTTGAACCCGCCACCGCAGCCAACACCAACCGCACGCAGGCCCACGGCGTGATGAGTTTCATCAAGGTGGTGCGTGCGAGTGACGGCGCGGAGCAGACGTTTGACGGGAACTCAGACCACATCGAGCTGGAGGAGGGTGGGGGGGAGGCGGAGCGGGTGTTTGGGTTCACAGCGCTGGTGGGGGAGGTGTATGTGGTGGAGGTGGTGGGGCCGGATGGGGAGGAGGAGTGGCAGCCGGAGGAGGTGGATGTGTACTTTGGGGATGGCGTGGATAAGGACTTTGCGGGGGACTGTGGAGGGGCTGTGACGGTGCGGCTCAAGGCGCCTGCTGGAGGGGACACACAGTGGGCCCCCAGGATGGCAGATAACGCTGCGTGTCGGTAGGTTCTCCATCGATGTGTATATGTTTCGTTCGTTCGTTCGTGCTTTCGTTCCCTCTTTTTTTCTGTTCTCACCCTCTCGTTGCAAGCACTCTCTCTCGTTCAGCTATCCACCCCGCATTGTCACTCCCCCCACCTGACGTCTCCCCTCTTTTCTGCCGCCCTCCTCTCCCACCTCCCCCTATCCTCCCTCCATCCTCCCAACGGCTCCTCTCTGCAGGCCCTGTACTGGCACCACTCAGCGTGCCCCCGCCCTGTTCTCATACGAGTGCAATGCGGAGTCAGAGCAGCAGCAGGTGCAGGTGGTGCTGTCAGGCGATGTGGACTACTACCTCCCTGCTGCCCTCTTCCTCTCCCAGGACCCCCCTGCACCCTGCTCCACCCCTTCGTGAGTCACACGCTGCCACACGATGGCACGGCACGGCTTAGCACAGTGCAGCGCAGCACAGCACAGCACAGCACAGCACAGCACAGCACAGCACAGCACAGCACAGCACAGCACAGCACGCCATCCCCATTCCTTTCCCCCCTGCCCACACACGAAACTCCGTTGTGGCTTCTCTTCCCTCACTCCCTCCCTGCCACCGATCACCCACCTCATGCCTACCCTGACCCCTCTCTCCCCTCCCTTCTCTCTCCCCCGCAGGCACTGTGGCCTCCTAGCACCGAGTGCAGTGTGGCGCTACAACCAGGAGGGGGGCGAGCTACATCCACTCTCCCCCGGCGGTCCAGCCTACTACAACCCGAATTTCCCGGACTCCTCCTGGCCCTCGGGCCCCGCCCCGCTCGCCTACGTGGGATGTAAGCACTCGCGTTCGCTCTCACGCACTTGTGTGCGGTGCACTGCGGTGGGCTGCGGTGTGGTTGAGCCATCCGCCACCGACGCCGCGGCTGCTGCTGCTGCTGCGGTCTGCATGGCGCGGCAAGGTGTCCTACCACTGTGTAGTATCTTGCCGTGTCATGCAGCCCTGCTCCTCTGCTTTCTCCCATCGCCCACACCCTCTCACTCTCAATCCCCCCTGCCTCCTTACCAAAGCGCCACTTCCATTCCTCCTCCCGCTGTCATGCCAACAGTTGACTGGGACAAAGTGGGCACGTTCCTAATGGAGCCATCATGGGACACCCGAACCACATACTACTTCCGCACGTCCTTCTCCCTCACCAACTCGGCGTGCGTCTCAAGCCTGCTGCTGCAAATGCCGGTGAACGATGGTGTGATTGTCCACATCAACAACCGTGAGGTGCTGCGCCTCAACATGCCCCAAGGGGATGTCACCAACGCCACCTCCGTACGTCGCTGCCTCACGTCTAGCCTCACCCCTCTCCCTTGCTCGCCTCATCCCTCTCGCCTCTGTTCTCAACCCTCACGCCGCCTTCCACAGCAGTGAATACACATCACTTACCTGCTCCCTCCGCATTCCCACAGCACACCTTTCTAAACTCGCCCGCCCCAAGCCCACCCTACTCACACAATTCCAACCTCTCCTGGCTCTTCCCGTTCCCGTTTGCCCCTCTTTCCCCCCTGCGCAGGCGCTGTTGGATAAAGAGGCGATCAACGACGACGGAGACAGGTTCATCTACACAGAGGCGACAGTGAAGCTGGGGGGGGCGGCAGCGGCGCCGGTGCTGGTAGACGGGGTGAACGTGGTGGCAGCAGAGGTGCACCTCAATCAGGACGACGGCTGGGACATCGCCTGGGCGCTTCGCCTCTCTGCTCTCCCCTCGTACGTGGATTTGCCTGTGTGTCTGTGTCACACATGCCTGTGTGTGGCATGGGATGTGTGACACATGCCATGCCTGTGTGTGGGGCATGGGACGGGTGGCACATTCCTGTGTGGGGCATGGGACGGGTGGCACATGCATGTGTGTCTGTATGGTCACTGCCTCTTAGTCTCCTCGCTTTTTGCTTTAGAACGTTGCTGTACGAATGGCTTGGCAGCTCTGTGTCTCACTCACCCGCCTCTCCTGCTGCCTCCCCTGCTGCTCTTCCTCTGCTGCTGCAACCCCGCAGCTCAGCTTGCCCCAATCGCTGATGGCTCATCACTGGTCGCTGATGGCTGCAACCCCTGATCGCTGAGGTGCACGAGGGGCAGCGAGAGGGCGTCTCGTGCTTGCCACTGCCATGATCAGTCACCTGCAGACGATGCACATGTACATGTATATGCATCTGTATATATGTTCTGTATTAAAATATAAATGTCCTTGGTGCGTTGGGATGAGGAGCAGGGAGAGAATGGGGTGGTGGTACTGCAAGAGATACGGTAGTGAGGTGGGTTGGATAGAACGTGGCTCTGGTAAGTTTCACGTTTGTTTAAACAGTGTACCTTAGACTTGTTCTTTACCCACTGTGTGTGCATAGTCCCTTGAGCAAGTATGAGCACAAACACAGGTAGGAAGGAAAATTTGGAGCGGCATGGGCAGTATGGTTGCGTTGAGTATGTATCCGTGCTGTAGTGCATGCATCACAGGTGCTTGTGAACTCAAGCCTTCTGGCCTCCACGCATATGGAAGTTAGATTGAAGGTGGTAGTTGTGAACCATCTATCATCCAAGGTATTGCTCAATCAATCAGCAATGGTTCCTTGTCTTTTTTGCTAGACGTCATGAGAGGCTGATCCGCTCTCGGCAGCTAACCTACAGCACACCACACCGCTCGACCCGAGCATACCGTCACTTCCCCGGAAGACCGGAGTTTGACACGCCTACCGTACCATTGGTCAGGCAATGCGAGTCAAAGTGTGTCTTGCAGACAATGGACAGAAATATTCCATTGAACAACGCCTCGAGTCCATATGTAGTATATCAGTATGCTTAACGCTTCAATACACCTACTGCATCGTTTGTAGCTTCTCAAGGGGTTTTCAGGAGCCACAGGTACCGGAACAGCACACCAGCCCAATGAAATTCCAGCGTGCACTGCCTGCACTGCCTGCACCACTGCACTTCATCTCCATCTCAACTGCAACCTTTACTCCTCACCCCTCAACCCTTCCCCACAACGAATCCTGCCTGCATCCTGTCCTCACTGTGACCCTGTCGCTACCATGCATCCCAGCCCAGCCCAGTCAACATTCACCAGCACCACCACCCTGACTGCATACATGTCCCAAAGGTCACCCGCACATGGGGCCTGTGCGCTTATGCCCTGAGTCATGCAAAGCGCCATGTTGTTGCTAGGTTCTTGGAGAGCGTTCCTCCTTCCCCTCCCGCTTCACCTCAACGCTACAGCTAGCCGCTACAGACTGGCCGCTACATACTGGCTGCTACAGCTGCCTGCTTCAGCAACACCCTTGCACCCCGGCAGCAGCTACAGCTGCAGGTTGGCAATGGCCTCAGGACCGGAAGTCCACCACTGCCCCAGCACCATCTCCACCACCCACCTCGCCACAACTCAGCGCTACAGACTAACAGCTACACCTGCCCGTTACAGCAGCAGCCCTGGTAGCCTGGCACCCCGGCAGCTACAGCTGCAGGTTGGCAATGGCCTCAGGTCGGAAGTCCACCCGCTGCCCCAGCACGCGCTTCACCTCTGCAGCACTCAGCCTCCACGTCATCGGACCCGCATTCTCCCCCCAGTAATCCAGAATCTCGCCCACCTTCTCCAGATTCAGCACCGTGGCGATCTGAGTCAGCCGCGCGAATTTCTCCCTTACAGACCGCGACGTGAGCGCTGACAAATGCCCCACGAGCGTCCTCACCTCCCGGTCCAGCTGTAGCCCGCCCAGCTGGTTGAACCGCTTCTGCGCTACAGCCGCCTCGACCCGCCGCGCCACCATGTCCGTCACCAGCCCGACCAGCCCGTCGTGATTGGCCGCGGTGAGCAGCGGCTGTAGCGGCGCGAGGCAGGCCTCGAGAGCGAGAAGCAGGCGCTGCACCCAGGGGTCGCTGGCCTCTCTCTCCTCGTACTCTGCTTCAGAGAGCTCGTAGGAGATGGAGGAGGCCAGCAGGTCGAGCACGGGGCGGAGTCGTGGCGCGATGCCATTGGCCAGCTGCTCCAGGCCTGTGGATGCCACTTGACGGAACACTGCGCTGGTTTCCCCAAGGTCTGCGAGAATGGGCTTCAGACGCTCCCTGTCTGCTGGCGCCGGGAACACCTGGTGGGTGGGGACGGGACGGTGGGGAAGGGGTGGGGGTGATGGGGAGGGGGCAATGGGGTGATGGGGTGTGATTGGCAGAAAAGTGGTTAAGGTTTTTTTTTTTTTTTTTTTTTTTTTTTTTTTTTTTGTTCTCCAGTGCATGGAATGATGTTGAGTCTGTATCTGCTGCTAGGCCTACAGTGGTATAGATGATTTGGACAAACTTTGTGCAAAGAGGACTAGGTGCACGTCAGGGTGAAGGGGACTGGGGTAGGTAGGAGGGAGGAGGAAGGGAGAAGAGGGGAGGAAGGAGGTAAAGGAAAGAGAGGGAGGGAGAGCATCCTGACGTGTGGATTGGATTGCAAGAGAGAGGCATGCAGTCACTTCCCCCCTGATCGTTGTCCCCAGACCCTTTTTCACAGCTAAAACAACTCCTTCTCCTTGCCTCGTCTCGTACTCTCATTTGCCTGGACACACGAATGGGACACGCTCGCAACTGCCACACCCTCAACCCCTACTGCCCTCATCACCAGGGTATCAGCGCCCTGTTGCAGCACGAGTTACGAGACGTCTTAGAGCGGCTCAGCACAAGTTGCAAGATGAAGGATTCACACACCCACGCAGATGCGCACACGTGCACACACACACGCACTCACATAAGCATGCATACACGAACAGACTCACACAGACATGTGAACATGCACGCACACCCCTCATTCCCCGCCCCTCATTCCCCACCCCTCATTCCCAGCCGCTCATCCCCGGCCCTTATCCCCATCCCCCCTTGTCTCCCCGGGTTTAGGGCTCACCTCGAGGCTGTATTCTTCCGCCTCCTGCTTCAGCTTCATTGCATACTCCGCGCTCACATCCGCATTGTTCAGAGCCAGCGCCAGCGTAGCCTCCGACCCCCCACCTCCTGCGCCCATCCCCCCTGCGCCACCGCCTCCCCCGCCACCCCCCACCCCGCCCGCCCCTCCACCCACTCCCCCCGCCACTCCCGCCACCCCGCCCGCGCCTGCCGCCGCGCTTGCCGCCACAGAGGCCAGCAGCCGCGCCGCGAGGTTGGGCTCTCTTAATCTCCTCTGCAGCGAGTCGCGGAGGTCCGCGCGAAGGACGGCGGCGGTGGCGGCTAGCACGGCAGCGGCCGCAGGGAGGAACGACGTGGCGACGGCGCGGCGCGTGCCGTTCTGGAGAATAAAGAACACGTCGTCTACCATAGAAGAAGTGAACGAGTCGGGCACAGGCTCGTCTATCCTAATAGCCTTCCCAACGTTCTCCACCATGAAATACTCCTCCAGAGTCACATAGAACCCCATAACGTCCACTAGGATCTTCCCGAACGCGCCGCCGCCCACACCACTCCCTCCCCCACCGCCTCCTCCTCCGCCGGGGCCGCCGCCGCCGCTGCCGCCGGTTCCGCTGGGCGCAGCGAAGCTGGCGAAGGTGGTGAGCGTGCGCGGGGAGACGCCCGCGCCCGCCGCTTCCGCATCGCGGAGCTTCGCGGCGATGAACCGCGCGTACTCGTGACTGCGCTGGGAGAGGAGAAGCGCCTCCTCCAAACACGCCTCCACCTCTTGAGGGTTCGGTCCTACCACCGACCCGTCCGAAGAAACTACTGCCGCTGCCGCCCTGAACCCCCCTCCTTGCCCGCCGCCGCCGCCGCCGCCGGTGCTGCCGAGTGTGTACCCTGCTGCTGCTGCCGCCGCCGCCGCTTCTTTCGCCATGCGGGGCAGGCGACGGTGCTCGACGTACTTGCGAAGAATGGCGGCGGATCGCGCGTCGCACTCGGCTTGGAGCTCTTTAATCGCCGCCACCACGCCGTCCTCGCCGGCGACCGCTTTAAGGAGCTCCTCGTTGCTCTCTACAGCGAGCGCCACGTCGCGGAGAAGCGCCGTGAGCGCCTCCGCGAAATCCGCCTGCGGGGAGACGGCAAGCATCGCGGCTGCCGCGCCGCCGCCGCTGGCGGCGACGTCGAGGGTCGAGAGCAGCGCCGCGAATTGCTCACGCGCGCGCACCGCCACGACCTTGCGGAGATACCCCACGAGCGCGCGCAAGCCTTCCGCCTGCAGCCCCAGCGGGGGGAACAGGCGCACAAACCGCTCCACCCCCCCCTGGTCCATTTCGTCCGCCGCCGCCGCAAACCGCTTGCGGATCACCCCCTCAAGCTTAACCTTCGATTCCATAAGCTGCCTCCGCTGCTCCCGCGCAGTCTCCGCCGCCTGCGAGTCAATCGCATGCGGGGACGCCCCCGCGTGAGCTTGCGGAGGGGCCTGCCCGAGCAGCGCCGCCGCCGCGTCCGCCGCCGCCATCGGGGAGCGCGGGGTGGTGGGGTGTAGCAGCTCCTCGTCGAGCTGCAGAAACGTCTCTATGAAGCGCGACGCCGCCTCGTAATCCGACGCTTCGAGCGCGTTCCGCGCGCCGGTGATGCAGTTGCTGCGGTCCACGATCGCGTCGATGCGCGCAATGGTGGTCGCGACGCGGGACTGCGCCGCGTCGCGCTCCCGGACGCTCCCGCTGACCCGAGACGCCAGCTGGCTGGTTCCCGACACCGACGCGAGAACCGCATCGGCGTCCGTGCGGACCAATTCAAGGACGTCTGTCGCGGCTTTGTGCAGGCCCAGCAGGCGCCGCTCCAGCCCGCCTCTCGCGGCGAGCAGCGCGGCGAGCTCGTTGTCGATGTCTCGCTCGCGCGCGACGGTTTCGTGCAGCAGCCGCGTCATCGCGCCGATGTCGGTCAGGGAACGGATCTCCGCGAGCGACGGCGCAGCGGCGGATGCGGCAGCGGATGCGGAAGTCGGCGTGGTGGCGGCGGCAGAAGGACCAGTGCCGTTGGGGAGCTGTGACTGGGATCCGTTAGCCGTTGGTGTCATTGGACGAGCCGCCATGGCTGCCACGTCAGCCGGATCGAAGCGACGAAACGCGCAGCAGGAATCAGCACGGCTAGAAAATAGATGGTATCGAAGGTGCACCAAAAAACGCCTGCAGAACTAACGCCTGTGTGCGAAAATGGAGGTCGTAATCTTAAAAAGGTTACGGTAGCCTAAATGCGACGAGCAGCAGCAGCAGCTGGTGGTGATAGTGGAGTCTGTGGGGGATCCCCTACGAGGCCACGGACCTTGCATCTTCCGATCATCGTGACCCACGGCATGGATCACTCAAGCCGCACAACCACGGATACTATCACCGCGAAAACACCTGAATTGTGAGCAGGTAAGTGAGTTTCTAATCATCATCCAACGAGTGACCAATTGTGTCCAGGGATAGTCTAATCTGACTGCGAATCTAACGTAGCGAGCAAACCAGGGATCATGGACGGGAAGATCCCAAGGCTAACACGTCGCAAGACATTGTAACGGTTAGTTAATTTCTGGACTTCGTACTTTGATATATCTTACAGAACACTCTCAATGTCCAGTTTCTTTAGGTGAAATTTCGCCTTGAAGAGCCTTGACGAGTTTGACTGTACCAGAGAATATACTGCAAGAACACAGGCTCTATAGTAGCCTTATACTGTGGTTTGTAATTCAGGTATCTCAGTTCCTCTTTTACATCTCAGTCCAATACCTACCCTCATCCTCATGCCCACTCCTCCTCAAGCCCCTATGTTCCCCCAGACCTTTCTCCATCTTGAAAGGGAGGGGTGCTCAACATAGGTGAATGCATGTGAACTAGAGAATCTAATGCAAGGACTGCTCTGCACTGCACTGCAGATGCTCTTAGAGGAGCATGGCAGGGTCCTTCTTCTGCAGGTGGATCTTATCAATCCCCTCCAGCACCTCAGGAGAGAGATCCATCTCAAATGCATCTACATACACACGCACACATTCACACAGACAATGGAGAAGGGGTACAACCATGTTAGCATGGGGCATGGAGTGGGAAGGAGATGGGGGACAAGAGTGTTTGACTACCTTCCCCACCACCGCAACACACACTCAACACAGAGCAACCGGCAGCACGGCAAGCACACACCCAACCAGCCAAACAAAGCAAAACGACAAGCAAAATCGAGAGCACACATAGAAGGACACAGGCACCCAGGTCTTGCCTCCCAATCTAACGCCAACTTAAGGCATGTGGGTTCATTGTGCACTGTGCCATGAGGTTCTCCTTGAGCTGCTCCATCGTGGTGGCAGGAGCCTAAGAAGGTTGACGTCACATAGCCACCGCGGCTTTTGAGAGGTCTCACAGCCCAACCCAAGGCCCGCCCACTCACACACACACGCACACGCATGCACTGACCGAGGTTCTCCTTGAGTTGCTCCATGGTGGTGGCGCCAAAGATAGTGGACGTCACATACCACCTCGACTTGCACCACGCCAGCGCCAGCTGCGCCGGGGGGATGCCTGCTCTCAGAGGGGGAGGGAGGGGGAGGGGACAGGTGAGCAGGCAGGAGGACATGAGACGGGAAGGAGACGGATGGGTGGTGGTGATGGGATGGGAGGAGGGAGTAGTGTGGATGGGGAGCCAAGGCTGGAGTTAGGATGAGGGGAGAGGGAGGGAGAGACCAGCCGTAACCCTAGACTCACCAACGCTTTCAGCGAAGTCGGTGTAGACCTGGGAGGCCTCAGCCATGGCCCCGGTGGTGAAGCGCTCCTGATAGCCCTCGAACAGGGTGAAGCGGGCGCCAGGCGGCTTCTTGCCTCCGTTGTACTTGCCCGATAGCGCCCCTGCTCGGTTCATGGAGTGGGTTTGTGTGGGGAAGCGGGTTGTGTGGGGGACGTGTTTTGAGTCGACTCAAAACACGGCTTCTTGCCTCCATTGTACTTGCCGGATAGCGCCCCTGCTCGGTTTATGGAGTGGGTTTGTGTGGGGATGTGGGTTGCGCGGGGAAGCGGGGTGGTGGGAGGGAGCATATGGGACAGGGGAGAGGAAGGAAGTGGAGGGGTCGAGTGCTTGATTGTTTGCAACATGTGCGCATGCAGACGTAGACATCCGTACACGCTTTCAGGCATGTATGCGTACATGCATCAACGCGTGCACCCTCTGGTGCATGCATACATGCATGATGCATCACACACAGCACGAACTGACGAATGCAGTCTTGCCAGGGCAACAGTGGTGACAGAAACTCGTCAGCAACTCACTAGCGACCGCAAAAGAAAGAGCAGCCCTAGAAGGCCCTACATCTCGCTCTCACACGCTCACATGCACTCATCACCACCCATGGGGCTCCCAAGAAGCAACTCAATGTTGTAGTGGCTGCGGCAGCAGCACCAGGTGTTGAGGCACGTATCGAGACGTCTCACCAGTGACACACACACGCACACGCAGCCACACGCACTCACCACCGCCCATGGGGCTCCAGGGAAGCAGCCCAATGTTGTAGTGGCTGGGCACGCACGCCTCTGCAAGCTCCGTCTCAAAGGAGCGGTGCACCAGGGAGAAGCTGTTCTGGATCGACACGTCTAGTTCTGAGGCGCCTCAAAACCGCACTCACCTCCGCCCATGGGGCTCCAGGGCAGCAGCCCGATGTTGTAGTGGCTGGGCGCGCACGCCTCTGCGAGCTCCGTCTCAAAGGAGCGGTGCACCAGGGAGAAGCTGTTCTGGATCGACACCGGCGGCGGCACCCCCAGGCGCCGCGCCGCGTGCACGTACTCGCACACGCCAAACGTGGTCTCGTTGCTGAGGCCGTAGTGCCGGATCTTGCCCTCTGCGTGGATAATAGGAGGGGCGTGTGTGTGTGGTGGACGGGCGCGGGGCGAATTGAGTGTTTGGGGTGCTTCCAAGACACGCTTTCAAAGCGTGGTCTCGATGCTCAGCCCGCAGTGGCGGATCTTGCCCTCTGCGTGGACAACATAGGAGGGGCGGGGCGTGTGTGTGTGGTGGGTGGACGGGGGCGAGGGGCGAATTAAGCCTTGCAGTGCCTCAAGAACCGCTTCTACAAATGGAGTCCTTGACTATTGTTGCCCATTCGTCTGTGTGCGTGTCCCACACATGGAGAGTGGAAGGGCGCATGGGACAGCAGAAGTGGAGGGGAAGGGGAAGGGGAAGGGGAAGGGGAAGGGGAAGGGGAAGGGGAAGGGGAAGGGGAGGAGAAGGGAAAGACGCAAGTGCAAGTCTCAAGCATGATGTAAGCTGGGTAACTGCGCACCTGCCACTTTCCGCTGCAGGTCAGCCCATCACTCTAAAATGCCCTGACCTGACCACCACCATCACCCCTTGCATTCACCCATCGCCCCAGCACCCTTCATACGCCCCACAGCCCGTCGCCCCCATTCACGCGCATTGCCCAACCAACGGCCCCTAACAGAGCAGTCAGTGAGTAAGTGGTGTGTCGCTCCCTCTCACCCTTGATAAGCTCTCCCATGGCTGCAACGGTCTCCTCAATGGGGATGGACGGGTACTCCTTCTCCGGTTTGTACTGTGTCACTCCAAACTTGGGCACATAGCGGTCCGGCCTGGTTGGGTGGGAGAGGGGGTGGTGGGAAGGGAAGAGGGGGAACGGGGGGTGGAGGAGGGAAAAGGGGTAGAAGGGGATGAGATCAGAAAGAAGGGTGCACTATTATGCAGGGGGGGGGGGGGGGGGAAGTGAAGGCAGCAGCAGGAGCAGCACGAGAAAGAGCGAGCGTGCACCAGAGGCATTGGTGGAGGTCAATGTAGGTCACCCTTAGTCTGCATTCGCCCGAGGCCCTCGAGTCCACTCCTGACCGAGGCCACCATTGAGTCAACTCTTGAGCTGACCCTTCACATGACTCCTTATTGGACTCTTGAGGTGCCTCCTTGACTTGGCTCAAGAGTCAAGACGCACCAGTGGATCTGGTAGAGCTCGGTGTTGTCCGTCTGCACTGCAGGCGCCTGCAGCTTTTAAGTCGACTCCTGACTGAGGTCACATCTGAGTCAGCTAACCCTGATTTCTTATCTGACTCTACGCGCACCAGTGGATCCGGTACAGGTCAATGTAATCGGTCTGCAGGCGCCTGAGGCTCTTGAGACGACTCCGAACCTAAGTGACTCTTGCATTGACAAACGACGCGCGCACCAGTGGATCTGGTAGAGGTCGATGTAGTCCGTCTGCAGGCGCCGGAGGCTCTTGAATCCACTCCTGCGAGGTGAACTTTGAACCAATCCCTTTGCGAGGCGAACCTTGAGGTGACTAAGACACGCACCAGTGGATCTGGTAGAGGTCGATGTAGTCCGTCTGTAGGCGCCTGAGGCTGGCGGCACACGCCTTGCGGATGCTCTCCCTGTCCAGCCGGCAGTCCGCCAGCTCTTCGCTGCGCGGCTGCTCCCTGTTGCCCGGGGTGTAGCTCGCCGGATTGTACCCTGCCACCTGCCCCGCCATGGGGGGAAGGGAAAGAGGGACGGGAGGGGGAAGGGGGAGAGGGGAGAGGGGAGAGAGGAGAGGGGAGAGTGGGGAGGGGAGTGGGGAGAGCGAGAAGAGGGGAGGGGATAGAGTAGAGAGGGTCAGGAATGAGAATGGTCAGCATGGCTGGCAGGTTCAACAACCACCCGTGCCGCGCGTGCCTGCTCTGCACATTCTCCCTACCCAACCCACGCCCCCATGCACACACATTAATCCGCTTGCACCCTCTTGATTGTAATCCCTGAGTCCAGTGCTAGCAACATACAGACAACCAGCAGCAGGAGATACGCGTAGCGACCGAGCAGCATGGTGAGCAGGGGGGTCGAGGTTACCTTGGTGGCGACGATAATGGAGGAGCGGTCCTTGTTCTTGAGCCACGTGCCCAGGATCTCCTCCGTGCGCCCTGCTGTCTCGCTGGCGGATCGGGGTCATGGGTGTGGGAGAGGCGGGAAGATGGAGCAGCAGGGAGACCGGAGGGGAGCAGAGGGGAGGGGAGAAGCGGGGAAGGGAGGGAAGGGGAGGGGAGAGAGGAAAGATTGGAGAGAGGGGAGAGGTTGAGGAAGAGCGTTGAAGGATTCGGTGATCGATCGGTGATGAAGTCCTGTCGTGGAATAAGAGCCAATTGCTCCATGATCCGAGCTCTTTACTCCATGCTTCACGCTTCATATCATAGAGACCATGCATGTAGGGTCATTGTGTACCATGCACTGTGCAATGTGCATCATACACCGCGCACCCTCGTGCCCTGAAATTGCGCGCAATATTGCAACTTCACCTTCACCTGTACCTCGAAAGTCCGCAATGGGAGCAAGAGCACCTGCAGTAGGCAGCACGTGAGCAGCGCTCTAACCGCACGTGCGCATGGGCACGGGGTGTACACCTCAGCCTATAGAGGCGCCGTGGGAGTGATCGCACCTGCGCATGGACACCCACTCGCGCAATCACACCGACACGCACTCTCACCACACCTGCGCACGGGCGCTGAGCGCGCTGATGGACGCACCTGCGCATGGGCACGGGGTACACCTCGGCGACATCCACGAAGTTGACTCCGCGCGACGCTGCATAGTCCAGCAGCGCGTGCCCCTCCGCCTCCGTGTTCTGCTGCCCGAATGTCATCAGCCCAAAGCACGCCTGGGCGGAGGGACGGAGGTACGGAGGTATGGATGGTCGGTCGGACGGATGGGCGGACAGACGGATGGACGGACGGACGGGAGGAAGCGACGGAAAGAACGGGAACGTGAATGAGACGAGGAAGGCGAAGCATTCATTGCAGCTCCCGCAGTCAACAAAGGCGACGCTTTTTTAAAAGCAGCTTTGGAATCGACACGAAAGGTGGCGACAGACTAACGATAGGGTAACGGTCTGGGATTGAGAATGCCAACTGGAGCAGATCACGAGACGACGACGAACAATGGCAGTGGTGTTTGAGCAAGACGATATTCGCTAGCGAGACGATATCTACCTGTGAAACGGAGAGATCCGAGGTGCCCAACGTGACTCGCTTCATATTGCCCGTGGCGGCCGGAGGGTCGGCTGACATTGACGCTGACGACGAAGCTGACGCTGATGGGACTAAGCTTGACGGGGAGGATGGAGAACTCGCTGCAACGAATGCTCGTCGCCTGCTGCAAGCAGGGGTGACAACGAATGCTCCGCGCGCAGCGCGTGCTGCGGTAGCTCGCGCGTGCAGCGATGTGATGCGCGCACAGGGCTGTGGGAGGAGGAGAGCCAGCATGGATGGCGCGAAGGAGCTTATGGAAAAAGAATGCGGAAGAGGAGGCAGAATGATCGGAGGAGGGGAAAGGGATTGGGATGGGAATGACAGGAATGGGATAGCAGGAGGGCTGTTGTGAAGGATTGGGTTTTTCTGAGGTACAGGGATCGATCAGGCGCGTGTTCGGCTGTGGCTGGCTGCTGGCTGGAAGCTGGGCCGTATTGTGCAGTAGAGTGCAATGCTTTGACGAGCAAGGGGGGACAGCGAGGGGTTTCGTCAGAATGTGGTTGGAAGGGGCGGTAACTGAACCGACCCGCAAACTTCAGCAGTGAAAATAGAGTGCCGGGTCATGAGCTACGTGTCCAGGTGGGAGAGGCCTGGGTTGGCGTGTCGCTTGCTGGCCTCTTTGTCGGTGGCAAACCCAATCTTTCGACACGTAGGCCTTACAGTTTCAATCGCATTTCACTCAATGTAGCTCAAATCTGAAATTTTGGCTGCTCTCATTCGGACAGAAGCCTGGTCAATTGCATGGACGGCGTGTGACTCAATAACATCCACCAACGCCATGCATGCTGCTCTTACACCGCCGATGGCGGGTAGGCCTCTCGGCCATTGCGTATCCGCCAGCTGGCACAAACTGGCGAGCGCTTCCGAGAAAATTTCCTGCTGCATTTCGGCAACCAGACATTTAGCATCATGTCCGAAAGTCGATTCCTGTGTGTTGGCGGAAGCGTGGTCCTCTTGCTCACCGAGGAGGCTCTTCATCGGTCCGTGTGCTTTGTTCATTGATTGGGCCTTCATACCTCGTGCTTTTCGAGTCATATTACAACAGCTCGTTTTCATCGCAGTCTTCCTTCGGGTAATTGCTCTGGCTTCTGGTCTCTACGTCATTGGTTAGACCTCCGTCTCCCTCTTACACGATGATGGATAGGGCGCGGCGGTCTGAGAGAGAAATAGACATCTGTTCGGTATTATGTGCGATCCTCCTGCCTCCAGTCGGCGTCTTCTTGAAACGGGAGTGTCAAATTGAGTTTTGGATATGCGTGCTATTGACGCTGCTTGGATACATCCCAGGAATCATCTATGCCGTCTTCGTCATCCTAAAGGTCTGCTATGGTGTTCTAACTTGCATAGTACACGGAAGCTATGTTCCTCTTTCCCTGCTTCTTTACTGACCATTTTGCTGTGTGCTATGTGCAGTATGACTAGACATTTTGTCCGCCTGCCTGCCTAACGAGAGCTTCAGTTGAGATAATGTTGAATGGATTCATGCTTTTCAAAAGGGGGAAACATTTGAGGCTTCGCGGGAGCTGGAATATTTTGATGCTACTTCGCTCACTCCCTACGAGAGTGTCGCCATTTTTTTCCCCTCCAGGCCATGATGTAGTTTTCATTTCGCAGGTGTGTGACACAGGGAGATACTGTAGCTGAGTCCTGGATGTCATGTTAGTGCAGCTTGTAGTATTGTTTTGTTTTTAAGGCAAAATAGTGTTCTGGGTGTTGTTACACAGCATAACGCGGAGTAACGTAGAGTACAGTTCATTACTTTGAGCGGAGTTTCGGTTCGGTTCGGTAACAAACGCAAATGTAGTATCGGTTTGGTTTGGTGACACGGGGGGTGTGGTAATGTACAGTAGTGCCGCAGGTCCAGCGAAGTAGCACGTGCGCTGACTCGAGAAATGCAGGTCTTTTGCATTGCTGGAGCTGCCCACGTCATCAAGAGCTCGGGATTTGGCGGCGCCCAAAACTGCGGCTCTAAAGTTTTTTAATTTCAAGACTGATGACCTTTCTCTCTTTGCCCAAGTCAATTGCTAGCGTGTTCGCAGCATTCCAGGTGCCCGTCAAGCACCTGGCACTGATCCGTATTTTTTTCCAGCGAGGGCAAGGACATTGTTCTGGATTCCTGATAGGACAGTAAGAAAATTCAGTGCGGACCGTACTCGCAAATTAATCCACCAACCAACGACCAGCAAGCCAATCAAACGAAAGCAAGTGACCTTATCCACGGTGACAGACAACCAGACCTACCAATCTTCACTTTCCTGCTCAGAGCAACATTTCCCTACAGAAAGAAGAGAGCGTATTGAGCCCCGCATTCTCGAAATTCCAGGGCCTCGTATACATCCCACATTTCGGAGACACTTGAGAATTGAAGCATACATCTTTGACGCGCGATTCAGCAAACTTGCACATCTCGTTCTACGAAAGAGTATCCTGCCTAGAAAGTAACAGCTAAAACGCCATGGCGAGCAATGACGTCGAGGAGGCTCCTCGAAAGGTGCTAGTGGCGATCGACGAGGGCAAGATCACGGAGCAGATGCTAGAATTTGCCATGTCGCAGCTGATGCGCAAGGACAAGGACAGACTCGTCATACTCAACGTGCGACACGCGCAGCCATGTAAGTTAACGTCAATCTACACACGCAAGGATGACCTTTGCCTCCTGCATTTGAACCTTCTACACTTCTACCTTCAACAATTCCCCCATTCTTGCCTGCTAACATTTTTATCATCTTCCTCCGACTTCTCTTTCCCCACAGTTCCCGGCTCGGAGCGCGTGTTTTCATCGGCGCACGAGGCGAACATGTGGGAACGCAAGGCGCGCGAGGAAAGCCGGCAACTCCTTGCGGACCTCGAGGCCAAGGCGCACGAGGCGGGAGTCACGTCCGTGTCGCTCGTATCCACCGATGGCGATCCGAGGTGCGTGCGACCGATGGTACATGGCAGGTGAGAGTGCCATCTCGGCTCGGTGTCAGAGCCGTTGCCATTGTTCCAACTCCATAATGCAAATGTGCGACGCAGATGACATGCGTTTTTTTTTTTTTTTCGCAGCATCCTTCTTTTCGCTTCACCTGAGGTAATTATGTCAATGCAGCCGTGAGCGATAGCCCAGATGCCTCACTATTACGATCGATATGCTCACCTTCCACCGCTCTCTTGCATTCGTGCCTATACAGGGAGAAGATTGTGCATGTGGCAAGGGAGAGCCATGCGGATCTGGTGGTGGTGGGGAACCGCAAGGGGGGCACTCTCAACCGACTGAAGCACATGATGGGCAGCGTCTCTGACTACTGCGCGCACCACAGCCCCTGCCCTGTTGTCATCTACCGACAAACCTGTCCCTGAAGCCAAGTAATCATCTCCACTTCCAGGACCTCATGTCCCTTCTATGCTCTGCTATCATGTTCAATCTACAGAACTTCTGCTCCAGCCTTCTGCAGCCATTGCTGCCAATGGTCCTGCCAGCATCAATCAGTATTGCTCTCCAGCGTCAACCTCACATCTCGTGAGGGAAATTGTCATGCAGATCTATGGATCCCTCGTTTTCTCCAGCTTTTCATTTGTACCGTACCGTATATACCATATGCGTATGAGTTGCCTCTGGCCGCTGGTTTCTAAACTAGGGCCTTGAATTGAAACCCTCATGCTTAACTCTATGGTGTGTATGTACAATTATTACGATCAATATAAATAACCTTATCCTTGGCCAATAAAGTTGGCCAGACTATTGCATCCTTTTCTGTCAGTACCTGAAAGGACCTGACAGACCGTAGGTTTGGACAACGGTCCTACAATTCTGATGCCATTGAGAAACGGTTTGTCATTTGCCCACAGGCAGAATAACCAGACCCTATCAAGATAGCACACGTCTTCAGAAAAGTCAATCCTAAACAAAAACTAAACTCATGGTGTTAGGGTTGACACCTTCCTGACGGGTTTATTTATTTCTGCTGGACCTACAACTACCCAATACTACAAACAAGCATATGGAAACCAGCATTAGCATTATTCGAATGCATCTGATGTTGGCCCTTCAGGCAGCAGCATGGGATAGTTTGCCACTGTCGTGGCAAAAGCCAGCGAGTTGTGATTGGAGGAAGCAGCAATCCGAGGCTGAGCTGGTGTTTGCCCCAACCACGGACTCTGGTTTTGCCACGAAGGTTGCAAACACAGACAGGGAGGTCGCGGAAATGGGGGAGGGGTGGGATGTGAAAATAGTTCTTCTGGTCCAGTGTTCCGAAAAATAGGACCCTTCGATTCAGGAATAGCCGGAAAAACAGATCTTAGAAATCAGGTCTGGATTTGAAATCATCATTTTCGGCCAGGGTGGCTTAGTTAGCCCTGAAAGTTCAAGGCAATCAGGGAAAATGCCTTGGAATCGACAGCCCTGGCTTTCCACGCATGAAGAGTCTGCTCAAGTCAACAGAGTAAAATCGTCTCGGCATCAGACAGTCTTGGAAGCGAAGGCGAAAATCTTTCCTAACACATCCCATCAACTACCATTTCAGCAACCCCGAGTTGCGATACTGAGTCGAAAGGCGGCGAGGCGGAAGAAAATAAATATGGAAAGACACTCAGAAACGGAACGGCGAGACGGTGAAAGTTGGACACCGCGTTTCTTGCGATGGTTTATTAGAAGGAGAGCAAAGCGAGGTAACGAGAGTGACGACGCATGGCGCGGAACGTGTCCCTCGTCTCCCCTCAACATGCACGCTCTGTACGTGCGACGACGAGGGCCGGCAGGAGGAACGGAAGGGAGAAGGGAAGCAGGAGCCGAACGAGTAACGAGACGACGAGGAAAGGAAAGAGAAAGTGAAGGAGCAAGGGCAGGAGCAAGGGATAGAGCAAGGGCAGGCGAAAGGGAAGGAGCAAGGACAGGGGCAAAGGGAGCAAGGTCAGGGGCAAGAGCAGGGGTAAAATCTCTTCAGTCGGCCAGAGAAGGACCAGCTTCCCAACATGCGAGAGACACAAAGCCGCATCATACGCAAGGAACAGAGGCTAAGGAATCACCTAATGCAAAAGATGTCCAACCTGAAGCCAAAATAATCATCTCAAGGGAGGCAGCAACCCGGCCTGCATCAGCCACAGCAACATCAGCATCAGCAGAAGCATCGACAACAATGGCATCGGTTGTAGTTGTTCCGGCAGGGGCAGGGGCTGCAGTGGGAGTGGGAGACGGCGAGTCTGTCTTTCAAACAGCGCCAGACTCAGGGGTCTCAAGCAAAGCTCCAGGTGCTGCAGGAGAGATGGCAGTGTTGGGAGTGGGGAGCGGCGGGCAGGCGCAGGTGTGCGCGCATTACTCACTGGCGGAGGTGGTGCAGGCGACGAGTGAGTGGGCGGAGAGCAGGCGCATTGGGGGAGGCAGCTTCGGGGATGTGTACAAGGGCGAGTGCCCCCACAACCCTCAGCTCGTCTGGGCTGTTAAACGCGCCAAGGTCCTCACCAACGACTTCAAACGCGAGGTGGGCCTGCGTGCGGGCGAGAGAAAGACAGGAGGAGAGGAGAGAGAGGTAGAGGGAAACGGGAAGAGGTAGGAAGGAGAAGGATTTGGGGTACCCGAAGGGTAATGTGTCAAGCGCGCCAAGGTCCTCACCAACGACTTCAAACGCGAGGTACTATCATGGGATGCAGTGACTATGTCTCTAAGGTTGACTTGCCATGTGTGCCCTGATGTAATCTGATTTTTTTTACCATGCCTTACATGTTGTCGTTACATTGCTGTTACATGTCTTGTTGTTGCGGTGTGGCAGGTGAACGAGATGGCGACAAAGAACCATCCGAACCTGGTGAGGCTGGTGGGGTACTGCCTTGACTTCAGCCCTGTGACGGAGAGGATGGAGCAGATCGTCATCTACGAATTCATGCCCCATGGCGACCTCGAACACTGGATCGGCCCTTGTAAGAAAACTTCTCCCCCCCAACCCCTCCCTCCGCCCCCTCCCACACCCCCCCCCCCCCCCCCCCCCCCCACTCACACACACTCTCTCTCTCCCTCTCCTCCCCTCTCTATCTTCGCATCATCATACTCTGGTACCTCCTCTTTGAAACCTCGGTTTCACAACTCCCCCTCCTTCCAACCCTCGATGTTCCGCCCTGCTTTCAGCAGCTAAGCAGCAATTGACGATCCGGCAGCGACTGGAAATTCTCATAGGCCTGGCTCGTGGCCTGGAGTACCTTCATGAGTTTGGCATTGTGCATCGCGACATCAAGCCTGCCAATATCCTCCTTGATGAAAGCCTGAAGGTATATCATTAACTAGCGATGCTGGACGAACGGCTGTGAAACCAAATCTTATCGATTATGTTGGGTGTGGCTGTTATGAAAAATCTGCCTTTGTACAACGCCTATGCCATTCACAACAGGCGAAGATTGCTGACTTTGGGTTGGTGAGGCATGGGGAGGGCACATCGGTGGCGGCCACACGAGTGATGGGAACACCGGGCTATGTGGATCCCGCCTACTGCAAGTCGCAGAAGGCCACTCCCATGGCTGATGTGTACAGGTGTGTAAATTTGTGACGTAATTATGGCATGAGCGACTTTTCAATCCTCCAGCTTTTTCTCCGCTCTTCAGAGCAGTTTTTTTGTAGCTTGTTGAGGCTTCCATGTTGTTTGTTTGCGAAGTAAGTAGCCGAGCCTAGAGCTAGTGGCCATCAGCTGTGCAAACAAGCACCCTCGTAATCTCGTCTCTTCCCATCCTATTGCATACCAGCTTTGGTGTGGTGATGTTAACCGTGCTCACGGCACGCAAGGCCGTCTTCAGCATGGAAGAAGAGCAGGTCAACCTCAAGACATGGGCTGCTCCGCTAGTGGCATCCAATAACATGTCATCGTTCAAAGACCCTCATTTGGAAGCACCAGATAGCTTGGTGCAGGAGTTGGCTCGCCTTGCTCTCAGCTGCACCGCCATGCCGTCTGCATCCCGTCCCTCCATGAGTCGAGTGCTCGCCTCCCTGCTGAACATAAAAGACAGTTACTTCGGGCTCGAGGTGAATAGGATGGCAGCACGAATTGACCAAGAGGTTGCGAGGTCAAAGGGTGCTGATTTTGATGCGGCCATTGCGTCCATTGAGAAAATGTACTCCAATAGTAGCACTTCAAGTCCACAGTAGAGAAAAAAGGATTTGATGGTTTAATCTGTTAGTGCACTACCAGTATTACCAAACTAGATACATACAAATAACTACATTTTTCTCACTCCGTCCTCATTACTACACGTTGACTGCTCCGCAGAATTGTGCTGAATGCGACTCAGTGCGATGTTTCACGTTGAACAGCGTTCATATCAATGTTTGGATCGGTCAAGATAGGTCATGAGCCATACGAACTGAAATGACCCACCTTGGTTCACTTCGAGTAACCTAACGAAATATTGAACGGTATTCTCTCGAAACGGCTGCAGCACGCTTTTCCGAAATCTCAGATCTGAGACCCAGGCCGAACCTCATGATTTTGCTACTCGACGTGGCAGTACGCGGGGAACCCTTCCAGCCCAGCACATCGAAACTGGCACGTCGCGATTCACATGCGGCATTGCCGAACCAGCCAGACTCGCTCGTGAAAAGCGCGCGAGCATTGAGATCTGGCCTTGGGCAGCGCTTTCGAAGGCTCGATGCATGCAGGTTTTTCGGTGCTTTGAAGTTCGGGGAGATTACTGTGTTGTGGCGCTTGCGCGAATGCTCGAAAGCGGAAGATATTTCCCCCCGCCGCAAGTATTTCCCACCCCCCCGCCCTCATTCATAACCGTCTCCTACAATCTCTCCTCGACTCGTGTTTGCTCCTTATTCGTTCCTGGTTCCCTCCCCGACACCTCTGCAGCAGACGTTTGGCAGAAAGTAGTTCCCGTTGGTGTGTTGACTCCTGCTTCGTACCCGTCGTACTGCCGAGCAAGCACGTTTTCGTGTGTCGTAAAACCCTCTCCCTCGGGCCGCTAATACCTAGCTGTCCAGCAGATCTACCTCCGCAACTAGCCACTCACTTCAACACTTTGAGACGATCTTGAGATCCACGTTAGAAACTCAGGAGGGATGGACGGCGGGATGCCAGCTCCTGGTGGCAGCGGGATGGGCGGTGGCGAGATGGAGCTCATGTCCAGATCTCTCCAGATCGAGCAGAAACTCTTCTATCTTGATCTTAAAGACAACCCTCGGGGCCGGTTTCTTAAGATCAGCGAGAAGACCGCGATGAACCGGTCAACGATCATCGTGCCGCTCGCGGGCGTCGTGTGGTTCGTGGATCTGTTTAACTATTACGCGAATGGCGCCAACGACGCGGAGCTCAGCAGCAAAGAACTGCAGCTCGACACCAAGGTGCGCTTAGTTGGCTCTTAGCTTGCTAAGACGCTGCCACGCTTGTTTTTTACTCTCCGCTTTCTAATAAAGCAATCATCTTTGTTGTTTTCGTTAAATCTCATGTCCTGTCGTCATTCTGTACATCCGTGTTTGGAAACCCTTGTACTTGTTCCAGCTAGCCTGACGCTAGTCGGACTGGCTCTGTACTGTGTTCTGTGTCACGCAAGTTTTCTGTGTGTTTCCGTTTCACCCCGTCTCACTGTTTAGGCAACTTACTCTCCTCTGTTTCATCATCGTAACCCGTTTCCTTCGTTCTTCTGCAGGTCTTCTATTTCGATGTTGGCGAGAACGCCCGGGGCCGCTTTCTGAAGGTATGTTAGATACTCTACACACCTTCTATAGCGCACGCGAGGACGAATGAATAGTTTGTTTAGAAAGGTACTTTGGCTCCTGTGTATGCTCGTGCGTCTTTTCGAGCGGACTCCGCAGCCAAACTTCAAAGAAGCGAGAAAGCGACGGATCTGCTTAATGGATGAAAGTACTGATCTCAGCTGGTAGCGAGGCTCGTGTCGCTAGTCCCACGCTTCGTCTACAAGATTCGTTAGCGGGTTTCGCACAGAGCATGCCACCACTTATCACCCACAACCTCTCCTTCACCCTCTGTCCTCTCTGTCCTCCGCGCACTGCTGTCCTCCTGTCGTCCTCCCCGCGCGGCAGGTGTCGGAGGCCAGCATGGCGCGCGCGCGCTCCACCATCATCGTGCCCGCGGGAGGCCCCGCGGCGGAGGGATGGGCGGCGTTCCGCAACGTGCTGGTGGAGATCCACGAGGCGTCCATCGCGCTCCCCACGAACAATGCGTCCGGCGCCGTTCCCGCCACGCAGGTGAGCTGCGAGTAAAGAACAAAAATTGCATATAGTCTTGAAAGCAGTGAGGGTTTAGGAGGAGATTTTGCAAGCGGAGTTGCGAGTGTTTCCGTTCTGTTACCCGATTGAGCCTTTCATTGCTTGGGGCGTCGAGTCAACCGATTAACATGTACATTGCACATTACAAAAAACAATCCACGATCCGACTTACCCGGTTCTCTTTCCTGAAATCTCATCCTTCCCTGCCTCCTTACCCTCTCCCTCATCCTCCCTATCCATTCCGCCGGCAGGTTGACGGTTCGTTCCATCACACGCCGGTTGCTGCTGCACCCGCGGCGGCACCTGCCGCGGGAGGCGCGGTGGAGGGAGGGGCTGGGGCGCCATCGGCGGGTACCGCGGGCGGCCCGTCGACGGGCGGCGGTATCGGGCCGGGCGGCAACGTGTTGGCGTCGCGCGTGATCCGCGCGGAGCAGAAGCGGTTCTTCCTCGACCTGGGGTCGAACGTTCGCGGACAGTTCCTCAAGGTTTCCGAGGTGAGCTAGCAGTTGCTGGATTTCTGATTGTGTGTGTGTCGTGCGCTCTCGTGGGAATGCTGGGATGGGATGGAGTATCAGAGGGGTGTTTACAGAAAGGCAGCACGAGGGCACGGGGGCAAGAAGGCACGGAAGGAGATGTGAGGTAGGGAAAGAGTGATCCACTTTGTCCCTCCTTCCTCCCTCCAGTGTTTTTGTGATGGGTATTTTATGCGTCCGCGCTGCGATCCTCAGCATTGCAGCAGAGAAACCTGTAGAATGAAACTCGCTGTCTGTACAGTCTTCTTCGCCTGCCCAGCCATCGCGTGCACCCTCCCTATCTCACGGCTGCCAGCACATTTCTTCTGCCCCACTGAGAAAGGCCACTTTCAATCATCCTCCCTCCCCTTTCTCGCTCCTCCACCCCGTCACTCACCACGGACCCATCGGTGATCAAAATCCCATCACACCTAAATATTAAGTTTCTTTCCTCCTCTTCCGTCCTCCCTCTCTCTCCTCTACCGCCCCGTGTTCTGCTGCAGGTGCAAGGCACGGACCGGTCGGTGATCATAATCCCGGCGCAGGCATTGGAGCAGATTCACGAGGCGCTGGGGCAGTTTGTGCAGGTGCTCAAGGCGCAGCCTCCGCCCTCGCCGCTCGTGCGCACTCTCGCCCCTCAGCCCAAGCGCACTGGCGACTCCTAGCCTTCCTGCCTGCTTTTGAGGCGCCTCAAAACTCCTAGCCTGCCTGCCTGCCTGCCGGAATGCTGCGTCACACAGGCATCCAACGGTGGCACAGTGATTCTGCGTGTGCTGCTGGCATAGGTTGAAGCAGCAGGAAGTGGTAGCAGCTTGTTAGTTGCTGCGTGAAATTGCGCTGGTGATGTTGGTAGGCGGTTATTAGAATGATGCTAGTATTGATACTAGGAGAGATGAGAGGTGTGTGCTTAACTGTCGCAGCTCTCCTGTTTTGATTTTCATAAATCCTCTATACGCCTTGGTATGATCTAATCCCATCGTGGAGGAACATGGCAGTGAAGGTACCCCCTCATGGTTAAAATTATGGTACGTGGAGCAGTGCATTGGAGAGCTGCGGGCAATATTCATTTGAGCTCCTAAATCATTGGTGGTTTTGAGTAACGGTACCCTAACAGTGCATGGAATGAGCGGAACCTCCATGCATTGCGTAGTGCACTGCATTGCATGCTGTGCACTGTAAGCTTCACATGCACCATCATATGTTTACGCCAAGAATCACACCATCCCAAACCACCAATCAGTCAAAGCGTTTCCTTACAACTCTACCTCACTGAAGGCAACAAAAACATTTGAAACACTTTTATTCCCCAATCCATCCACCCATTCAGTTCACCACGCCTATTTGATAGCCACGAAGCCAAATGCGCACTTGTATCCCCCGTCTAATTAGAACGACAGATTGCCTCAGCCACTTTCAGATGCCTGGCAACTGCCAGCCAGCCACTCTTCCTTTTTATGAGGCCCTGTGCAACCGTCAGCACCCATGATGGGCACCCGTGAGCACCCATGAGCACCCATGAGCACCCATGAGCACCCGTGACCGTGAGCACCCATGAGCACCCGTGAGCACCCGTGAGTACCCGTGAGCACCCGTGAGCACCCATGGAAACCCCATGTAGGTGTGCTCTAGAACTACTGCCCACCCGGCCCACCCCAATGGCATGTGCATGTGACCCAGGTCAGAGGTTACTGTTGAGTTGGGCTAGATGCCATGGCATGTGCACGCGGCGCAGCACCCACCACGAGGGGAACGAGCGAATCCCCACTCGCACTCGCACCTGCCGCCGATGTGCCTGCACCTGCTGCCGTCGCGCGTGCGCCTGCGTCCACCCTGCCCTCCCCACTCGTGCCCTGCCCCACATTCTCCCTTGCACGTGCTGTTGCTGCTCTGTCCCTGCTTGCTGCTGAGTGGTTTCCTTCTTGGCTGCTCTTGTGCTTGCCTTGGCTGCCTTTTCTTCCCTCCTCGCCTCCTTCTGACCAGCACCAGCCACAGCAGCAGCAGGAGCACCAGAAGCACTAGCACCGGCACCAGAAGCGGGAGCAGGAGAAGGAGCAGGAGGAGAAGTGAGAGCAGCAGCGTTGGGCATGAGGGGAATCAGCAGAGGGGAGGCGGCAGCAGAGTGAGCGGCCAGGCATTTCCAGAAGGGGCGAAGGGCAGCAGAGGCTAGGAGAATGGCAGCCATGGCTGGAGGTGAAGGGGTGAAGGGTGCACTGATGGGCGGAGGGGGTTGGTTCAGAAGGACCTGAAGGGAGTGCAGTAGGAGTGGGGGAAAGAGGACGGGATAGGATAGGAGGGGGGGGAAAAGGGAAGTGAAAGGTAGGTCCAGGGTTCTGTGGGATTAGAGAGACGGGGTAGAGGCATGGGGCAGGCAGATGTTGCATGCATGGATGCATGGTAGGAGAGACGACGAGGGACGAGGAGGAACAAGGGAAGCAACGTGCTTATTCCTTTTTTTCTTCAAGAAACATGGGATGATATTGCATGATGGGCTCACTCGGATCACAGCAGCGGTTGAGGAGGCAATGGAGAGGAGGTTGTACCTGGCGCACACAACACACAGACATGCAACAAACAGATAAACATGGCAACACCAAACAGACATGGTGTAACGGGGGATAGAGTTGCATGGCACAGCATGGCATGGCATGGCATGGCATGACATGACATACCAGCGCACGGTCCAGCATGGCACTGCGTGAATAATATTGCACCACACATACGTGGCAAGAGGAGCAAGGGGCACGGGGAAAGAAGAGCAAGGGGCAACGGGCAAGGGGCAAGGGGAGGGCAAAGGATAGGTGGCAACGCACCCTCCTTCAAGAATGAGCAGCATTCGATTGGCGGTTAGGGGCAGCAGCAGGGATGTCATGTGGGCGAATCCCGCTGGTGACACCTGGGGATGGCATGGGACGGGATGTAGCGTGGTGTGACGTTGTAGCATTTACAGGGGCGAGAGGAACGAGGTGGATTATACGGAGAGCAACGAGGAGGAGGGATGGGGAATGCATGTTTGTGACGTCTCAAAAACGAAGAGGGAAAACAAGGACCAGGAATGCAGGGGAGGAGGGAATGGGGGGGAAGAGAATGGGGGGGAAGAGTGAGGAGGGAGTGAAGAGAGGGTTGGGGTGCAGGATGGGGACGAAAAGGTGGGGTGAGGGGGAAGAAATGAGAGGAGAGAGGGGTGAAGAGAGGGGGGCAGCACCTTGCATCCGCCAAGAGGGTCGCCTTCAGCAGCATCAAAGCCAGCTGATATGATTGTGAGATCCGGTTGAAACTCATAGGCTGCACGATGACAGCCACACCAACATGGCATGGCCCCGTGTCATGTCATGCCACACGCAGCAACAGGGGCAAGCTTGGTTAATATCAAGCAGAGAGAGAGAGAGAGCTCTCGAAGTACTCGCACAAAGTGTTGAAATTGCTTTTGAGAATTCTCATATGTGCGAGAATTCTGCAATGTTGAAAATCGTTTCGAAACGATTTCCAACATTGCAGAGAGAGCTCTCAAAGTACTGGCACAAAGTGGTCGTTACAACTAGTGCAATGCAAGCTACTAGAAGTGGGGCCATTACTCTGGCACTAGCAGCAGTAGATTGCAATGAACAGAAAGCTGGAAGAAAATTCAGTCTCTCAAAAGCGGCTGTTTACATTACACATCCAAGGGCTGAGCTCACACACCGAGCGGCAGGATGAGGTGGAAGAAGGCAGCGAGGTAGTCCGCATCTGTCATGGCTCCACATGGCCATGCCACGTTGGCCGACCGCCCCTCCCCTGGCCCTGATCCCACCTGCCGGAGGGAGATGGTGAGGGCGGAGGGCAGAGGGCGAAGGGCGGAGGGCAGAGGGCAGAGGACGAGGGAGAGGGAGAGATGGAAGTGAAGGTGTGCTTTCAAATCATGGGGGGTTTAGGCAGAAGACAGGAAAAGCAGAGGGGGGAAGGGAGACGAAAAGTGACAAGGAGAGAGGAGGTAAGGGGTTGATGGGGGAGAATGGGGAAACGACGGCTGAAGATAAAGCAGGAAGGAACAAGCAACGTATCGAGACATAACATCTGAGCGCAATGGGCAGGCAGGAGAAGGAAGACATGGCAGCAGGAGATCGGGAAAGTGGGAGGCAGAGTAGTTCAGTTGGTGAGAAACTGTGAAGAGGAGTATGATACCGGGAAACCGGGATACCGGGAAACCGGGATACCGGGATACCGGGAAACCGGGACACCAGGATACCGGGATACCGGGAAACCGGGATACCGGGATAAAGGGAAACCGGGAAACCGGGAAACCGGGAAACCGGGATACCGAGAAACCGGGAAACCGGGAAACCGGGAAACCGGGAAACCGGGAAACCGGGATACCGGGATACAGGGAAGCCGGGAAGCCGGGAAGCCGGGAAGCCGGGAAGCCGGGAAGCCGGGAAGCCGGGAAGCCGGGAAGCCGGGAAGCCGGGAAGCCGGGAAGCCGGGAAGCCGGGAAGCCGGGAAGCCGGGAAGCCGGGAAGCCGGGAAGCCGGGAAGCCGGGAAGCCGGGAAGCCGGGAAGCCGGGAAGCCGGGAAGCCGGGAAGCCGGGAAGCCGGGAAGCCGGGAAGCCGGGAAGCCGGGAAGCCGGGAAGCCGGGAAGCCGGGAAGCCGGGAAGCCGGGATGCCGGGATGCCGGGATGCCGGGATGCCGGGATGCCGGGAAGCCGGGAAGCCGGGAAGCCGGGAAGCCGGGAAGCCGGGAAGCCGGGAAGCCGGGAAGCCGGGAAGCCGGGACGCCGGAAAGCCGGGAAGCCGGGATACCGGGAAACCAAGATACCGAGATACCGAGAAACCGGGAAACCGGAAAACCGGGATACCGGGGGGAAACCGGGAAACCGGGATACCGGGATACCGGGAAACCGGGATACCGGGATACCGGGATACCGGGAAACCGGGAAACCGGGATGCCGGGATGCCGGGATGCCGGGATGCCGGGATGCCGGGATGCCGGGATGCCGGGATGCCGGGATGCCGGGATGCCGGGATGCGGGGATGCGGGGATGCCAGGATGCCGGGATGCCGGGATGCCGGGATGCCGGGAAGCCGGGAAGCCGGGATGCCGGGATGCCGGGATGCCGGGAAGCCGGGAAGCCGGGAAGCCGGGAAGCCGGGAAGCCGGGAAGCCGGGAAGCCGGGAAGCCGGGAAGCCGGGAAGCCGGGAAGCCGGAAAGCCGGGAAGCCGGGATACCGGGAAACCAAGATACCGAGATACCGAGAAACCGGGAAACCGGAAAACCGGGATACCGGGGGGAAACCGGGATGCCGGGATGCCGGGATGCCGGGATGCCGGGATGCCGGGATGCCGGGATGCCGGGATGCCGGGATGCCGGGATGCCGGGATGCCGGGATGCCGGGATGCCGGGATGCCGGGATGCCGGGATGCCGGGATGCCGGGATGCCGGGATGCCGGGATTGCCGGGATGCCGGGATGCCGGGATGCCGGGATGCCGGGATGCCGGGATGCCGGGATGCCGGGATGCCGGGATGCCGGGATGCCGGGATGCCGGGATGCCGGGATGCCGGGATGCCGGGATGCCGGGATGCCGGGATGCCGGGATGCCGGGATGCCGGGATGCCGGGATGCCGGGATGCCGGGATGCCGGGAAGCCGGGATGCCGGGAAGCCGGGAAGCCGGGATGCCGGGATGCCGGGATGCCGGGAAGCCGGGAAGCCGGGAAGCCGGGAAGCCGGGAAGCCGGGAAGCCGGGAAGCCGGGAAGCCGGGAAGCCGGGAAGCCGGGATGCCGGGATGCCGGGATGCCGGGATGCCGGGATGCCGGGATGCCGGGAAGCCGGGAAGCCGGGATGACGGGATGCCGGGATGCCGGGATGCCGGGATGCCGGGATGCCGGGATGCCGGGAAGCCGGGATGCCGGGATGCCGGGATGCCGGGATGCCGGGATGCCGGGATGCCGGGATGCCGGGATGCCGGGATGCCGGGATGCCGGGATGCCGGGATGCCGGGATGCCGGGATGCCGGGATGCCGGGAAGCCGGGATGCCGGGATGCCGGGAAGCCGGGATGCCGGGATGCCGGGAAGCCGGGATACCATCCCGGGATGCCGGGAAGCCGGGAAGCCGGGATACCGGGAAACCGGGAAGCCGGGAAGCCGGGAAGCCGGGAAGCCGGGAAGCCGGGAAGCCGGGAAGCCGGGAAGCCGGGAAGCCGGGAAGCCGGGAAGCCGGGAAGCCGGGAAGCCGGGAAGCCGGGAAGCCGGGAAGCCGGGAAGCCGGGAAGCCGGGAAGCCGGGAAGCCGGGAAGCCGGGAAGCCGGGAAGCCGGGAAGCCGGGAAGCCGGGAAGCCGGGAAGCCGGGAAGCAGGGAAGCAGGGAAGCAGGGAAGCAGGGAAGCAGGGAAGCAGGGATACCGGGATACCGGGATACCGGGATACCGGGATACCGGGAAACCGGGAAACCGGGAAACCGGGAAACCGGGAAACCGGGATACCGGGATACCGGGATACCGGGAAACCGGGAAACCGGGAAACCGGGATACCGGGATACCGGGATACCGGGATACCGGGATACCGGGATACCGGGATACCGGGAAACCGGGAAACCGGGAAACCGGGAAACCGGGATACCGGGATACCGGGATACCGGGAAACCGGGAAACCGGGATACCGGGATACCGGGATACCGGGATACCGGGATACCGGGATACCGGGATACCGGGACACCGGGATACCGGGATACCGGGAAACCGGGAAACCGGGAAACCGGGAAACCGGGAAACCGGGACACCGGGACACCGGGACTCCCGGGACACCGGGACACCGGGACACCGGGACACCGGGACACCGGGACACCGGGACACCGGGACACCGGGACACCGGGACACCGGGACACCGGGACACCGGGACACCGGGACACCGGGACACCGGGACACCGGGACACCGGGACACCGGGACACCGGGACACCGGGACACCGGGACACCGGGACACCGGGACACCGGGACACCGGGACACCGGGACACCGGGACACCGGGACACCGGGACACCGGGACACCGGGAAACCGGGAAACCGGGAAACCGGGAAACCGGGATACCGGGATACCGGGATACCGGGAAACCGGGAAACCGGGATGCCGGGATGCCGGGATGCCGGGATGCCGGGATGCCGGGATGCCGGGATGCCGGGATGCCGGGATGCCGGGATGCCGGGATGCCGGGATGCGGGGATGCGGGGATGCCAGGATGCCGGGATGCCGGGATGCCGGGATGCCGGGAAGCCGGGAAGCCGGGATGCCGGGATGCCGGGATGCCGGGAAGCCGGGAAGCCGGGAAGCCGGGAAGCCGGGAAGCCGGGAAGCCGGGAAGCCGGGAAGCCGGGAAGCCGGGAAGCCGGGAAGCCGGAAAGCCGGGAAGCCGGGATACCGGGAAACCAAGATACCGAGATACCGAGAAACCGGGAAACCGGAAAACCGGGATACCGGGGGGAAACCGGGATGCCGGGATGCCGGGATGCCGGGATGCCGGGATGCCGGGATGCCGGGATGCCGGGATGCCGGGATGCCGGGATGCCGGGAAGCCGGGATGCAGGGATGCCGGGATGCCGGGATGCCGGGATGCCGGGATGCCGGGATGCCGGGATGCCGGGAAGCCGGGATGCCGGGATGCCGGGATGCCGGGATGCCGGGATGCCGGGATGCCGGGATGCCGGGATGCCGGGATGCCGGGATGCCGGGATGCCGGGATGCCGGGAAGCCGGGAAGCCGGGAAGCCGGGAAGCCGGGAAGCCGGGAAGCCGGGAAGCCGGGAAGCCGGGATGCCGGGATGCCGGGATGCCGGGATGCCGGGATGCCGGGATGCCGGGAAGCCGGGAAGCCGGGAAGCCGGGAAGCCGGGAAGCCGGGAAGCCGGGAAGCCGGGAAGCCGGGAAGCCGGAAAGCCGGGAAGCCGGGATACTGGGAAACCAAGATACCGAGATACCGAGAAACCGGGAAACCGGAAAACCGGGATACCGGGGGGAAACCGGGAAACCGGGATACCGGGAAACCGGGATACCGGGATACCGGGATACCGGGAAACCGGGAAACCGGGATGCCGGGATGCCGGGATGCCGGGATGCCGGGATGCCGGGATGCCGGGATGCCGGGATGCCGGGATGCCGGGATGCCGGGATGCCGGGATGCCGGGATGCGGGGATGCGGGGATGCCGGGATGCCGGGATGCCGGGAAGCCGGGAAGCCGGGATGCCGGGATGCCGGGATGCCGGGAAGCCGGGAAGCCGGGAAGCCGGGAAGCCGGGAAGCCGGGAAGCCGGGAAGCCGGGAAGCCGGGAAGCCGGGAAGCCGGGAAGCCGGGATACTGGGAAACCAAGATACCGAGATACCGAGAAACCGGGAAACCGGAAAACCGGGATACCGGGGGGAAACCGGGAAACCGGGATGCCGGGATGCCGGGATGCCGGGATGCCGGGATGCCGGGATGCCGGGATGCCGGGATGCCGGGATGCCGGGATGCCGGGATGCCGGGATGCCGGGATGCCGGGATGCCGGGATGCCGGGATGCCGGGATGCCGGGATGCCGGGATGCCGGGATGCCGGGATGCCGGGATGCCGGGATGCCGGGATGCCGGGATGCCGGGATGCCGGGATGCCGGGATGCCGGGATGCCGGGATGCCGGGATGCCGGGATGCCGGGATGCCGGGATGCCGGGAAGCCGGGATGCCGGGATGCCGGGATGCCGGGATGCCGGGATGCCGGGATGCCGGGATGCCGGGAAGCCGGGAAGCCGGGATGCCGGGATGCCGGGATGCCGGGATGCCGGGATGCCGGGATGCCGGGATGCCGGGATGCCGGGATGCCGGGATGCCGGGATGCCGGGATGCCGGGATGCCGGGATGCCGGGATGCCGGGAAGCCGGGATGCCGGGAAGCCGGGATGCCGGGAAGCCGGGATGCCGGGATGCCGGGATGCCGGGAAGCCGGGAAGCCGGGAAGCCGGGAAGCCGGGAAGCCGGGAAGCCGGGAAGCCGGGAAGCCGGGAAGCCGGGAAGCCGGGATGCCGGGATGCCGGGATGCCGGGATGCCGGGATGCCGGGATGCCGGGAAGCCGGGATGCCGGGATGCCGGGATGCCGGGATGCCGGGATGCCGGGAAGCCGGGATGCCGGGATGCCGGGATGCCGGGATGCCGGGATGCCGGGATGCCGGGATGCCGGGATGCCGGGATGCCGGGATGCCGGGATGCCGGGATGCCGGGATGCCGGGATGCCGGGATGCCGGGATGCCGGGATGCCGGGAAGCCGGGATGCTGGGATGCCGGGAAGCCGGGATGCCGGGATGCCGGGAAGCCGGGATACCATCCCGGGATGCCGGGAAGCCGGGAAGCCGGGATACCGGGAAACCGGGAAACCGGGAAGCCGGGAAGCCGGGAAGCCGGGAAGCCGGGAAGCCGGGAAGCCGGGAAGCCGGGAAGCAGGGAAGCAGGGAAGCAGGGAAGCAGGGAAGCAGGGAAGCCGGGAAGCCGGGAAGCCGGGAAGCCGGGATACCGGGATACCGGGATACCGGGATACCGGGATACCGGGAAACCGGGAAACCGGGAAACCGGGAAACCGGGAAACCGGGAAACCGGGAAACCGGGATACCGGGATACCGGGATACCTGGAAACCGGGAAACCGGGAAACCGGGAAACCGGGAAACCGGGATACCGGGATACCGGGAGACCGGGAGACCGGGATACCGGGATACCGGGAAACCGGGAAACCGGGAAACCGGGAAACCGGGATACCGGGATACCGGGATACCGGGATACCGGGATACCGGGAAACCGGGAAACCGGGAAACCGGGATACCGGGATACCGGGATACCGGGATACCGGGATACCGGGATACCGGGATACCGGGATACCGGGAAACCGGGAAACCGGGAAACCGGGAAACCGGGAAACCGGGAAACCGGGAAACCGGGATACCGGGAAACCGGGAAACCGGGATACCGGGATACCGGGATACCGGGAAACCGGGAAACCGGGATACCGGGAAACCGGGAAACCGGGAAACCGGGAAACCGGGAAACCGGGATACCGGGAAACCGGGAAACCGGGATACCGGGATACCGGGATACCGGGATACCGGGATACCGGGATACCGGGAAACCGGGAAACCGGGAAACCGGGAAACCGGGAAACCGGGAAACCGGGAAACCGGGAAACCGGGATACCGGGATACTGGGATACCGGGATACCGGGAAACCGGGATACCGGGAAACCGGGAAACCGGGAAACCGGGAAACCGGGAAACCGGGAAACCGGGAAACCGGGATACCGGGATACCGGGATACCGGGATACCGGGATACCGGGAAACCGGGAAACCGGGAAACCCGGATACCGGCAAACCGGGATGCCGGGATGCCGGGATGCCGGGATGCCGGGAAGCCGGGAAGCCGGGAAGCCGGGATACCGGGATACCGGGAAACCGGGAAACCGGAAAAACCGGAAAACCGGGAAACCGCGACACCGGGACACCGGGACACCGGGACACCGGGACACCGGGACACCGGGACACCGGGACACCGGGACACCGGGACACCGGGAAACCGGGATACCGGGATACCGGGATACCGGGATACCGGGATACCGGGATACCGGGATACCGGGATACCGGGAAACCGGGAAACCGGGAAACCGGGAAACCGGGATACCGGGATACCGGGATACCGGGATACCGGGAAACCGGGATACCGGGATACCGGGATACCGGGATACCGGGATACCGGGATACCGGGAAACCGGGAAACCGGGAAACCGGGAAACCGGGATACCGGGATACCGGGATACCGGGAAACCGGGAAACCGGGAAACCGGGAAACCGGGATACCGGGAAACCGGGATACCGGGATACCGGGATACCGGGATACCGGGAAACCGGGATACCGGGATACCGGGATACCGGGACACCGGGACACCGGGACACCGGGACACCGGGACACCGGGACACCGGGACACCGGGACACCGGGACACCGGGACACCGGGACACCGGGACACCGGGACACCGGGACACCGGGAGACCGGGAGACCGGGAGACCGGGAGACCGGGAGACCGGGAGACCGGGAGACCGGGAGACCGGGAGACCGGGAGACCGGGAGACCGGGATACCGGGATACCGGGATACCGGGAAACCGGGAAACCGGGAAACCGGGAAACCGGGAAACCGGGAAACCGGGATACCGGGATACCGGGAAACCGGGAAACCGGGAAACCGGGAAACCGGGATACCGGGAAACCGGGAAACCGGGAAACCGGGATACCGGGAAACCGGGAAACCGGGATACCGGGATACCGGGAAACCGGGATACCGGGAAACCGGGAAACCGGGAAACCGGGAAACCGGGATACCGGGAAACCGGGAAACCGGGAAACCGGGACACCGGGACACCGGGACACCGGGACACCGGGACACCGGGACACCGGGACACCGGGACACCGGGACACCGGGACACCGGGACACCGGGAAACCGGGAAACCGGGATACCGGGATACCGGGATACCGGGAAACCGGGAAACCGGGAAACCGGGATACCGGGAAACCGGGATACCGGGAAACCGGGATACCGGGATACCGGGAAACCGGGAAACCGGGAAACCGGGATACCGGGATACCGGGATCCCAGTAAACCGGTAAACCGGGAAACCGGGAAACCGGGAAACCGGGAAACCGGGAAACCGGGATACCGGGAAACCGGGATACCGGGATACCGGGAAACCGGGAAACCGGGAAACCGGGAAACCGAAAAACCGGGAAACCGGGAAACCGGGAAACCGGGATACCGGGAAACCGGGATACCGGGAAACCGGGAAACCGGGATACCGGGATACCGGGATACCGGGAAACCGGGAAACCCGGAAACCGGGAAACCGGGAAACCGGGAAACCGGGAAACCGGGATACCGGGATACCGGGAAACCGGGAAACCGGGAAACCGGGATACCGGGTTACCGGGAAACCGGGAAACCGGGATACCGGGATACCGGGAAACCGGGAAACCGGGATACCGGGAAACCGGGATACCGGGAAACCGGGGAACCGGGAAACCGGGATACCGGGAAACCGGGATACCGGGAAATCGGGAAATCGGGAAACCGGGAAACCGGGAAACCGGGAAACCGGGAAACCGGGAAACCGGGAAACCGGGATACCGCGAAACCGGGAAACCGGGATACCGGGATACCGGGAAACCCGGAAACCCGGAAACCGGGAAACCGGGAAACCGGGAAACCGGAAAACCGGGAAACCGGGAAACCGGGAAACCGGGAAACCGGGAAACCGGGAAACCGGGAAACCGGGAAACCGGGAAACCGGGAAACCGGGAAACCGGGAAACCGGGATACCGGGAAACCGGGAAACCGGGATACCGGGAAACCGGGAAACCGGGAAACCGGGAAACCGGGATACCGGGAAACCGGGATACCGGGAAACCGGGAAACCGGGATACCGGGATACCGGGATACCGGGAAACCGGGATACCGGGAAACCGGGAAACCGGGATACCGGGAAACCGGGAAACCGGGATACCGGGAAACCGGGAAACCGGGATACCGGGACACCGGGAAACCGGGATACCGGGATACCGGGAAACCGGGAAACCGGGATACCGGGAAACCGGGAAATCGGGAAACCGGGATACCGGGAAACCGGGACTTAGTTGGATTTTACGCCTAGGAAGGCAGCGTCAAAACGTACTGTTTTTCTCCTGGACGTTGGGTGAACGTTTTGCTCCTGGATGCTGCCTAATTTCTTTTGGGGCAGCCCGAAATCGAAAAAAAAACTAAGGGCCAAAACAACAGGAGAAGGATAGAGAGTAGAGAAGGGGAAGGATATGAATTGGTCTGCAGGTAGGCAGAGAAGGAAGTGGGATGTAAGGCAAGCAGAGAGTACCTCTGTGGGCGCTCCAGTTCCGGGAAAGAATGACCCCCCTTCATGGCGATGGATAGACACATAGAACACCTGAATGAGTGGAGTGGAGGATAGGAGGGGGGCACCCGGGTAGGAGAAGGAAGGAAGCGACTTTTGAGTCGACTCAAGAAGGACCCCCTTCGATGATGATGGATGGACACATAGAACACCTGTGTGGGTGGAGGATAGGAGGGGGGCACCCGGTCAGGAGGAGGAAAGAGAGGGGGGAAAGGGGGGGAACGAGGGTAGGGCAACAATAGTACAGCACGAGGGGAAGAGTGACGGGTAAGGGAAGGGGGGAGAGGAGTGGAACAGGAGGATGGGGGATGTATGTCTAGAAGGTCGAAGACACGGCTTGAGATGGTTCACGTTAATGAGAAAGGGGATGAAAAAAGCAGGGGAACAGGAGGAAGATGGCTGGCACATAACGAGAGTGAGTGTGGTGCACGTAGGGTTGAACGTCAGGAGGGGGGTGGCTGGCACAGAAGGGACGCAAGGAGAGGAGTGTGCTTACATGAGGGTCGCTCTCAAAGACGACTTTTGAGACGCCTCAAAACTTTTGACTTTTTATTAGGCGCCTTAAAAGTGGAGTGGCTGGCACAGAAGGGATGCAAGGAGAGGAGTGTGCTTACAGAAGGGTCGCTCTCAAAGATTTGCTGTGTCCCATTGCCATGGTGCACGTCCTGTGGTGGTGTGGATTACGGGGAGCAAGGAGGTAATTGGGAGAACAGGGATGGTGTGATTACAGCAGCAGGGTACCGCGCTGCTTTGCTTCCTGTGATGTGCCTACAGTTCCATCTTTTGAGGTGGCCTCAAAGCATTGTTGTGCGTTTAGGTTGCGAACTTGGGAAATGGCAGCCGCCGTGCCTTACGAAAACCACCCAGTGGCAAAAGAACACAGAGGCAAAGAAGAGGCAGGCGAGACAATGTGAAGGAGAGCAAGGGGAAGAGCAGGCGCAGCAGCAGCAGCAGCAGAAGAAGAAGAAGAAGAAGCAGCTGACCCAGTCAAGCAACAAGATCTTCTTAGCCCCTGCTGCCTGCGCTGCCCTGGCTGCCACGGCAGCGTTGTTGTGCAGACAGAAGCCCTGCGGACCCTCCGTCCCCGCATGGTGCCCTGGCGGCCGCACCTGCATGCAGTGAGCAGGAGGACAGGGAGGAATGGTGGATGGAGATGGGGTGGGGTTAGGGATGGGGATGGGGATGGGGATGAGGATCAAATGGGGAAGAGGACTGTAAGCACGACGAGGATAGGATATTTAGCGCCTGTAAGTACAAGGAAGGTTCATGAAAATTGATTGGGATAGAGGGGATGCTTCAAGGAAGCTGAACAGAGCAACAGGAGAGTCAAGGGAGTGGGAAGTTGGGAAGCAAGTGAAGGGCACCAGAGCGAAGCCGTTGAGGAGGCGGCCGGTGGCAATGGCGCGGGCCATGGAAGCTGCTGTCCCTGCTGCCAGGCGCGCTGCTGCTGGCGACCACCGGTTGGCGTATGTGTCCGCGTTGAACGCACTGCAGGGCAGTAGAGAGAGAGTGTGGAAGAGAGAGAGTGAGGGAGAGATAGAGTGAGGGAGGGAGAGAGTGAGGGAGGGAGAGAGTGAGGGAGAGAGAGTGTGTGGGAGAGAGAGAGAGTGAGGTAGAGAGAGAGTGAGGGGGAGAGAGACCAGCAATTGTGGCGTTATGTGGGGAGTTAGCGGGGGTGGGAAGCAGTGCAGGGAGAAGGGGACAGCCGGGTCAGGGAGAGGCAGGCAGGCAGACAGAAGGTGCGAACAGAGAGGGTTGGTGTGCATAACAGCACGTGGTGTTTCCGCGCTGGTAGACCCACAGTCTGGAGACGAGCTCAATTGGAAGAACAAGAATTGCAATTGAACAGCGGGCTCTCACCTCACCTCACCTCACCTCACCCACCTGACACCATCGATGGGAGTGAAAATGAAAAGAGACTCCGAGCCCACCTGGTGGCTCCTCTATTATGCGCACCTGGTGTCAGTTTTAGCTGCCTTGTCCACCATGGTCAGATGCTTGGCCGTGTGGCTCTGGTGGGATGGAGGGCATGGCATGAAGGATGGTTCATCATGGAGAGAGCAGCGCACTGAGGAACGGAGTGGTAGGTAGGATATTCATGGCCACGGCGTGCGAAGCTGGATTTTTTAACGAACACAGAGACCGAAGAAACTGAACCCTGTGGCATGCACAGAGAACGGAGCGCGACACATGTGTGAGATGAGAGAGCGGCCGAATCAAGAACACGGGCAGCAGCAGAAAGAGGAGCACAACGGGAACGACCAGTGCTCCTATCGCGTGTCAGCGCACGCATGTTGCTGAAGTACTGTTATCGCGTATGATCTACTTGAGCAATACTGCAAGTACTGTAATGAACGTGGCACATTGAGCACAAACAGTCTGCTTTTGCGGTGCCTCAGAAATTGTGAGTGGATGTGCGTTGCTCTAGTGCACATGAGCGAATGACCGCGAGTGTCATAACATGATGCAATGCAAGCAGCACATGAATACATAAGCAAAGCAGCCATCAGTTTCAATTCAACGCACATTGAGAATGAGGTCATCTGCTGCACTCTCCGATGCCCATGCCTTACACGGACCAGGGAACAACCCTGCATGCGCGCACACACACACATGCAATGCAATCCACACACGTCCATTCAAACACAAAATAAAGCATACATGCACGATCACATACACACAGTAAGAAACCTGCCATTCCCACATGTGCAAACCCTTGCCCGCAAGTTCAAAGCCATTCCCAGATGCAGAGGGCAAGAAGAAGCAACAGTGCAACCCAACTCCGTCAACCCCCCTCCCCTCACTTTCCAGTCTTTCCTCCAACCACAATCCCCTTTCTCTTCCCCATCCCACGCCACCTCTCTCCCCCCCACACCTGCGCCTTTGAGGAATGCCAGAATGGCCCGCAGTCGGTCAGGGCGCTCAGGATGCAGAGAGGCACTGCCGACCTGCACCACGTGCACCACATGTCATGTCGCACAGACAAGGAGGGGGAGGGCGTGATGACGAGAGCAGGGATGGGGCGAGGGGGAGCGCGGGGAGGCGGGCGGGTTGTGCGGGAGCGAGAGGGTGGGAGAGAAGGATTGGGAGATGGAGCGGAGTGTAGAGAGAGAGACTGGAGTCCTTTTTGGGGCACCAAAATACAAAGGGAGTGACAGTTCGGGTGGCACTTCTGTGAGGGGCTGGCACCTGGCTGGAACGGTGAATTTGGATTGCGAATTTAAAGTGAACTGCTCAGATTGTATAAGGGGTATAAGAGAAAATGAACTGGCTAACATGCAGCTGCCCGTAAAACTGCACGTGAACGCACACATGCATACACATACCAATAATACCCATGTGTGTGGAATGGAAACCATGCATCCGGTTATACCATACAAAAAAATGAATATACCAGATGGACTTTTGAGTGTTAATCATGGGCCCGCCCAACCCCCTCACCTCCTCATGCAGCAGCATCAGCTCATCACATCCGATAGCAGTCTGCCCTTCCAGACCCTCACCCCCTCCTTCTCCTCGTCTCTTCGCTCCCGAATTCTTTCTCCCTAATTTTCCAGCCTCTGGCGTCATCCTTGTCCCAGCTCCTGCTACTGCTGCGCCAATCCTTGCTGCTGCTGCTGCTGATGATGATGATGCTGCTGCTGCTGTGGCTCCCATCTTTTCCACCGAACGGATGGAAAACGACTCAAGTGCCCCACACACCTGCACATAGTGGGAGTGGCCATGCCCGCACGAGAATTGTTGGAGTGTGTATGCACAAGCAAATTTTGAGCGGTTTGTGTGCTGAATGGTTGCGACTGGACAAAGAGACACGTGTGTATGTGTGTGCTCATGAGCCTTCAAAACCATCGCCAGCAGATTCCCCTCCGACCAGCAAAATCAACCCCGATCTTCCTCTTACGCACGTCGCACTCTTCGTCAGCATCACTTGCCACCCCTTTCCTCTTCTCCGAGCCCATCCGCCCACTCTTCGCCGTACCCTTCCCTCCACTCCCATCCCTTTTCTCCTTTCCCTTCGTCTTCTTCCCCTTCTCCTTCTCCTTCTTCTCCTCCACCTCTTTCGCTCCTCTCCACTCAATTTCCACTTCCGTTGTAACCTCCTGCACGTCACTGTCACTCCCGCTACTGTCACTCCCGTCTTGATCGCTCGCCTCTAATACTTCCACCTCTGTGCTTGTCTCTTCTTCCGAGTCTTGAGAATCCCGTTTGTGTCCCCTGGCCGCACGGTTCGTCTCGCCGTTACCATTGCCATCGACGTTGACGGCGACGTTAACGTTGGTACAGTTTAGGCAGTTCCATCTGCGAAGGGGAAGACTGTTTTCGTAACGAGCTTTCAACCATCGAGGCAGCCAATCAGCGTCCTCTTCCTCCTCGTCTCCTTCCCCGTCACCTTCCTTGTTCTCTCCTCCTTCCTCATCGCTTGTCGAATCATCGTCTTCCTCCTCCTCGGTATCAGAATAATCAGCGAAGTCGTCAAAATCGTCGTCGTCCTCGTCGCCTTGCTCGTCGTTATTGATGTCAGCGGCATCATCACGCGCCATGTCCGCGCGTTCCACGTCCTGATCCTTGTGCTCGTTAGGCGTCATACCCCCTGCCATGGATTTCTCGATTTTATTAGATAATAGAGGCTTACACCGTAAGCGAAGGTAGGAATGTGATGTTATCCATGGAAAGTTTGTAAAAAAGAACTACCAAGGAAGGTTCAACAAAATCTCATGACATGCACAGAAATTATTTCGTGTACAATCTATTTGTAAAGCATCCCACGAATCAACCTCATTGACAATATGTTCTCTAGTAGATACCCTTATATGCTACCCATGCTACGTATACTTTTACTTTCCTGCTTAGAAACTTGCGTAATACACTTACGCAACGACATCTAAACTTTGTAGCGAGAACAACTTTGCTGGGCGTGGTTTGGGTTATTCTGGTCCGTGGCAGCCGTGCCGAGCCAAAAGGACAACCTAATCCGCAAAGCTGGGGGGGTTCACACAGCCGTCATTCGACTGGCCTGGTGGCGCGGCTTGGCTAGCTGCCTCGGCTCCCCTAAGATGATGGAGCGAGGGAACCGTGGTGGCTGGCATGGCACCTGCGCAAACGTGTGTCTCGATGTTTGCGAGCCGTGCCCGAACCAGGGAAGCGAGGCTAAGTTACCACAGCTTTGGTTCTCAGTGAGCGTAATGGTACCTCCAAGCCTTCGGTCGACGTTCGAGAGCACTCCCAAGCGAGATGTCAAGTCAGCCATGACATGGCACCACTTACGCAACCGCCCCGTTTGGTTTGGGTTGGGTGTCCTTGGCAGGTCAAGGAAGAATGCTTGCGCCTCGCACTGAATAATGCCTCCACTTCACCGCCCGCCTTTCCTTTCGACGGTGTTTCTTCCAACCCTAACCAGAGTCTCCAGGGTCCTCCCCGACGTTTTCTGGAGGCCAATTCCGTCGCACCACGGCCCCTCTGGTGCCAATCATTCTCCCAGCCATTTCCATTTCCATCCACCCCCTCCGGCCCGACGGCCCCTGTGCCTCATCCCCTACATATGCGACTTGTTCGCTGCTGTCATTTTCGCCGGCTCGGCTCGACCGACCGACCCTCATTCAAATGTCTTTGTAAAGGGCGATAAGCGCTAACCTTCCTGCTTTTTCGCCCCTCCCGACCAACCTCATTCTGCGCTCTATCCTGAGTGTCATGGCTTCCCAGTTCCACCATACCAGTAGTGTTGTTTCGAGATCACGAGGCTAAGTACGCGTTGGTGTAGTGATGCAGATCAGGAAGCAGGTCAGTTTAGGAGGCTGTACCTACCCCAGTAGGGCACAACGACACGAGACCTCACGATCGACTGCGATGCTCAGTGTCCACCTGGAATGTCGGCAGCACAGACACCTCACTGTCTCCGCATACAGTACTCTACAGTGCCTTTTTCAATAACGCCGTGATCCATTTGCCCGAGTAGTAAAGACTCTTCAACGGTCAAAGGACAGTCTTTTAGCCGACAGTCGGCTCGTAACGATCCTGCGAGCGGAGGGGAAACGGAGGGGAAACGGAAACTAACCAAACAGAAACGCAATGACGCAGTTAGTAAATCGCGGTACCTCGCAATTAGCAGCGCTAGACCGGCGACGCCGACAGCCGATCACGAGCCCGTCCGACCACAGACTACATCATATTTCACTACATCATCATAGCATTTCTTTCTCTCCGACCATGCCCCAACGACAACGACAACCGCATCAACAGCAACAACAACTACCGACGGTACTAAGACCAGTCTCGGCAGCGCTACTAGTAACAGTGCTTCTGCTGTCAGCCGCCGCGCTCTCGCGCGGGGACGTAACGGACGTGTTCAAGCCCTTCTGCGGACCCGTGTCGTACAAAGACCCTCCTCCTAAAGGGTGGAAACGGTGGAGCGACCCGCGGGCGTGGCCCAATAACAGAGTGCCAGGTGTGGGGAATAACCGAGGCGCCAACGCGACGATAACGTGCGGCGTGGGGATGCTCTTAGACGTCAGCATCACCGTCTACTTTCTGAAGATCAACGGCTGGCTTAAGTAAGCGCTGTTTCCCCCCCACCCACCCCACCTAGCATCCCCTCACCAACTTCAATACCCACCCATATCTCATCTTCCCCTTCCTCCCAACATCTGCCTCGCCGCACCTGCCTAGCCTCAACATTTTCTCTGATCGTGCGACGTCTCCAGAGCACCTTTCCGTGTCATTCTTTTCCCCATCGTCACTCGTCCCCTTCCGCTGTCCCTTATCTTTCCCAATCCTTACCTCCCTGCCACCTTTCCAACCCCCCTGTACCCCGCGTCCCCCCGTTCCCCCGCGCGTCCGCGTGCGCGCGCATGGCGCAGGGTGGAGGCGTTGGGTCCGCTGCAGGTGAATGCGGCGTTCATTTTGAATCAGGGCCGCGTCACTGTCGGCACGGCAACGTCGCCGTATGCCGGCAAGCTAACCGTTAACCTAACCGGCGCCGCCAACGAGCTCACCATCACGCGCCCCCCCGCCGCGCCGTATCAGCCGCGCTCCGTAGGCGTGCGCGTGTTCGCCACAGTCGGCGGGCGGCTCGAGCTCAACGGCATGTATGGCAACGCGCCCGCGTGGACCACGCTCGCCGCTACCGCGAATCAAGGGGCGCGAGCGATCCGGGTTAAGGGGGACGTGAGCGCGTGGCCGGTAGGCGGTGTGATCGCGATCACGTCGACGGATTTTGACCGTTACCAGGCGGAGAATTTCACTATCAGATCGGTGGCGAGAGGTCCGCGCAACACGACGGTGCTGGGGCTGGGCGGCGCGCTGGCGTGGATGCACTGGGGGGAGGCGGTGACGTCGGGCGTGGCGGGCGCGACGGTGGACGAGGCGGCGGAGGTGGCGCTGCTGTCGCGCGCGATCGTGATTCAGGGCCACCAGAACCCCGAGGACCCGCTGATCGGCGGGCACTTGATGGTGATGCAGACGGCGGAGCGGCAGCTCATCAAGGGCGTCGAGCTCGTCAACATGGGCCAGCAGGGCAGCCTCGGCCGCTACCCCGTTCACTTTCATCTCTGCCAGAACGTTAGAGGCTCGGTCGTGAGCAGCTGTAGCGTGCACGACAGCAATCAACGGTGCTACGTGGTGCACGGCACGTGGAATCTACGGCTGGAGTGGAACCTGGGGATCAACACCAAGGGGCACTGTTTCTTGCTGGAGGACGGTATCGAAACCGGCAACGTGTTCTATAAGAACCTAGGGTTTCTCCAGGAGCCCCCGCAGCGCATGCTCACTCCGCTCGACGCGAAACCCGCCGTGCAGAGCGACAACTCGCCGTCGACGTTTTGGATCACCAACCCCAAGAACACGTTCATTGGGAACGTCGCGGCGGGGTCGAGCGATTCGGGGTTCTGGTTCCAGCTCGAAGCGGACGTGAAAGGGCCGTCCGCGTTATACGCGCAAGCTGCGGCCATGGCGCCGAAGCTCATGCCTCTGGGTTCGTTCGTGGGCAACGCGGCGCACTCTAACGGCCGCGCGGGGCTGCGCACGTACCCCTCGGGGTACCGCCCCCGCCTCAACGGCGGAGTATCGACGATGCAGGAATACTCTGGGATCAACGCGGTATGACGGGAGGCGAATGAAAAAACAGGGTGTATGTGAGCGAGGAAAAAGATTGTAAAGCAGGAGTGTCCTACGCTTGCTATGGGTTCCCTTAGGTTGCATGTGTGTGAGAGAGGGAGGTCGAGGTGGGGGGATTGCAATGAATAAACGCATTGAGAGTCGGGTGAAATCTAGGGTGGTAGTAGGGTCTTTGCTTGTGGTGTATGTTCCCGAGGTTGCATGCTAGTTTGTGGTCTGGTCCAAAAGATCGAATCGCCTTCTGGTTCGGTGTCATCCGCGAGCACTTCCCGTTCCAAAAGTCAGGAGTCTTTTCCTTGCCCTGCCCGTTCGCCTGCCCGTTCCAGCCTGCAGCGAACATTACATTTAAGGGCTTTCGGGCGTACAAGAACCAGTTCATAGGGTGAGAGACTCTTTCTTGACTCTTCCCCTTCGCTTCTATTTGTACCACCACCCTGGTTGCGCAGTCTTTCTCGCCATTT